TTTATAATCTTATTTTTTTTAATTAAATATAAATCAATATAAAATAATTGTATATTATTTTATCCATAATTTTATGCATCAAATGTAATTTTAAAGTCTTCGTGGCTACCGACTGTAATGGATATGAATGCTGAAAATGCAATTGTTAGAAATATGCAATTGGAATGTTACTTTTAACGACTTTAGGGCTTTGGAAAGTGGGCCAAAATTCCCAAATATTCTGTGGGCTTCATCTCTACTTTGTAGTATCTAAATTATGTGTGGACCACAATATTGGACGAAAATTGTCCAAAATTTTTGGGTTTTTAAGAACAACAAAGCTGAGGTTAAATAAAAAATACATGTACCTAGACATATCTCAAGCAAGATTGTCAAAAGTATTCCCGATAAAAATTTAGTTTAATTTAATTAATTTATATAATAAAATTTAAAAAATCTAAAATTAAATTCTAATATTTATTACCCTATTTTTTTTATATTTAATTTCAATAAAAGCTTACTAAACTTATTATTCAATTTATAAAAAAATATATACATAAAAGAGACTGCAAACAAATCATAGAAGATAAGAGGATTTAGAAAATGAATTTCGGACAAAATTTCAATCATGAGTATAAGCAAGTCGAAAACCCTTAAAGCTTAAGTTTAGCAATTTTGATTTGATTTGATTTAAAATGACCATGTGTTAGGCATTAATGCTATAGTTAATGGCTAAGAGGTAAAAAAAAAAAAAAGTCTTTTGGAGTGCAACTATAAAAGGATTAATATTATGAATAATGTTTAAATTATAATAAAATATTCAATGTAATACTTAAATTTTAAAAATATTTCAACTTCTTTATTCTACAACAGCTAATCTCATCAAATTCCTACTTTGATCCCCTTCGCATTGAAATTACTATTTTGGCCCCCTTATCCATTTTTGCCTTAGTCCTTACTTTTAAATATTATATTAATTAACAAATTTATAATTAAAATATCACATTAAAAATTTTTAAATTCAGATACCGTATTGAATATTTCATTAAAAATTAGTAATTTAGATCAAATGTCTATTGACTGATATTGTCCATTGATTATGTTCAATTATTTTCTTTGTCCTAAGAGTGATAATATCGTTTTCAAACTTGTCAAGGATGCAGATGTAGCAGCTGCCCAGTGCAACTGGACAAAATGTTTCCTTTTCCATTTCATTATAATTATCCTTTCTTAATATTGGTTTCTTTTGGCCATTTCTTCTCATTCCAATTTCGAAAATTAGGTATAATTGGAAGATTTTTTTTGGAAATAAGTTACGTGACGCAAAGAATATGCAAATATGGTGTAAATATTGTACATATTTAACCAACATATGTTGATTAAAATAATAAGAAATTCGATTTTTCTTAAATAAGATCTCGGTTTCGAATTTTGTGAATAGAAAAAATAGGTTTGGAAGAGCTTACTCTTCTTATGAGATCTGACTCGACTCGATTTCAAATTAATTAAAATTTAAAGTGATTACCGAACATCGAAAAGTTTTATACCAAAAAAAAATTGTGCATATTTATATCCCTCATTTTTTATTTTTTATTTTTGGGTAGTTTGACAGTTGCTATCACAATAAATAACTTGGTTGGCAGTAGCGAGGATAAAATTTTAATTGTGTTGAATCATTGAAAACCAAAAAATAAAATAAAGGAAATATATAGATGTATGTTTCATTTTTTACATTGAAAAGTTGCTTTCATTTTGAGGACTCATGCACTCATTATGACATCTTTGTTTTTTGTTAGCTTTTGCTGATATAATCTGTAATTGGAGGAATTCCTAAAATATCTTTCTGAAAAAAATATACAGTTACATATTTTAGATTTAATTTGGATAGATGGTGAAATTAAAAAATAATAATAAAAGTTATTGTAATTGTAATTGAAAAAAAATTATTATAATTATAATTGAAAAAATTTAATAAAAAATTTATACTAAATAAATATCATTGAAGTTAACATTTATATCTAACTATGATGTAATGAGTTAAATCAGATTGTATTAAAAATGCTATAAAATTCAAACCTAATCTTAATCGACGGAGTTCCATATATAATTCAAATCATAGCTTTTTGAGCAAAAAAAAAAAAGAAAGAATTCCAATTGCATTTCATGTTTGTGATGGACTTCAAAGCAGTTTTTGTGCATGAAATTTTTTTCCATACATGGAACAAATTTGACAAGAATTTGATCCATAATTTCTACTTTAACCCCTCAATGCCCCAAGACCCAAAAAGGAAAAAGAAATCAAGCAGTACTCTATAGTCACCTGATAAACATGCAAAACTTGTCTGTCATAGAATTCCAAGAAGCAGACTGATATTTATGATGCTAAAAGGAATGAATAGAAGTAACTATGATATCAAGCTAGCTAGACAACCTTTTATCTATGCATGCCACATTAATTGCCACACATTGCTCTCCTATCGTATAAGACTTTGCTATACTTCCAAGAAGAAACATCCAACACGGTTAGGGTGGACAGTTTAACTCAGAATCGACGGATTTCGATTCGATCCGATCTCATAGAATTAATTTTTTTTTTAAATTGAATTTCGGATTGGATCGGATCGAATATTATTAAAAAAATTGAGGTCGGATTGGGTTCGAATATTAGACAAATTTGATCCGATATTATATAAAAATTTATTTTTAATTTATTAATTATATATATTTATATTTTAAAAAATAATATTTTATTAATTTTAAATCAGATCGGATCGAATTTGATTTATATAATGTTAGGTTCGGATATAAAAAATAAAAAAAATTTCGAATTTGAATTTTATAGTAAAAAAATCAAGTCGAGTTCAGGACGAGTAAAAATTCATCCCGATTCGATCTGTTGTCAACCTTAAATATGGTTTAAAAATTTTCTCCCAACAGTATTCTTCTTTGTCTGTATTTTATACAGGTGATGTAGGGCAAGTTTCCATAATTTCCAAATGCGTAAAGTGTTCTTAAAGAAAACGTGAGAAAACAATCAAGATTTCAAAGGAGACAACTGTTATTACTGGGTATATGCTGTATTGTTCCATCGGATCCCTTGACCCCAGAAATAAATTTTATAAATATATATATATATATATATTTGACTAGAAGTGGAAGGGAAAGCCAATGTATATCTCAGTGTTTATATTTGTACTTGAACAATTCGATGGGTCTAATCAACATTTAGTAGAGTTGATGGAACAATTCGGAGATAACGTGTAAAGGTCACAAAATGATATTATAAATTAAAGAAGCAGAGAAAAATGTCAGCCATTGGAACCTTAAAATTCGTTTTGTCATTGAAATTATTTAGAATGGTGCTGGAAAGGAAAGATGTTTAGTCGACATCAAAATATGTTCTATGAATGACTGATCATTGTTTTCCGTAAAAGATTCAATGTCCCTGACATTTATTTGTTACTTATATTTGAGACAAAACTCAAGACTTAAAAAAACTACCACGAAATTGCTTTGAAAGCTGCAACTCATAAGAGGAAAGAGTGTTTGGTATTTTTTAAACACAAATAAATTTTATAATAAAATTAATATGAAATAAATTACATGTCAAAAAATATTTAATGTGATTCAATCAATTAATTATATTTACGGATGAGAGAAAAAATAATGTAAAAATTATATAAAGTATAAAATATTATAAATAAATATTAATTTTGAGTTTTTAAACAATTATAATTTTCATATTCCCTAATATATAACTTATGAAATATTTTTTATTTCAAATAAAATTTTTTTCATATCTCTACAATTTTATCTCTTATATAAAGATCTTGTAACTTTTTCATAATTCTAAAAGGTAATAATCACTTCATATTTATGAAACTCCGTTATTTGATTATTAAGAATTTTTATTTATTAAGAACTCTTACTCATTAGAAATATTTATTCTTAATTATTAAGTAATTCTTTAACTAATAGAATTTCATTAAAATTCAAATTGATTGCTAATTAAAATGAGTCAATATTTAACAAATTTTCATCTTGACACAAATTCTACCATAATATTGACCTTCAAAAAATCTCGACTACACATAATCGAATCAGTGTTGACTTCACTTGATTCAAACAAGATGGTCAATACTCACATGCAGCTAAATCAACTTCACTCGGTTGACTCTACTTGCAACTAATGCCTTGTTGTAGCATCTTCTCTTACATGTTTCTGATCTTATGAACACAATCTTAACAACAAATCATCTTCCAAATTGATGTAGGATAACCTCAACAGTCTCCTTCTTTCACATATCGTGCTATAGGGAAAAGCTTTTATTCTCAGCTCATGAGGAGATTTTGGCAACAATCGATGTGGAATAACCTCAATAATCTCCCATTTTCACACATTAGGCTGCAGAGGAAAGTTTCTATGCTCGGCTCACGAGGAGATACTAGTAACCTAGCTCTGATATCACTTGTTAAAATTTTTTAAGCAAAAACAAATTTCACAATGAAATAAATACGAAATAAATCACACGCAATAGGTAATATTTAATGTAGTTTGGCTATTTGCCTACATCCACAGATGATAAAGAAAATCCACGATAAACATAGAGATTACAAATAGTACAAAACACCATAAACAAACACTAATATCAAGCTACTGAAACAATCCTAATTTTCATGCTTCTTAGTGTATAACTTATAAAATATCATTTATTTCATGTAGCCAGTGTTTTTCCAAACAAACTCTTTTTCATATCCCTACAAACCTATCTCTCATATAGAGATCTCATAACTCTATCTCATAATTTTAAAAGTTAATACTTGCTTTATATTTATAAAGCTCCATTATTTGATCACTAAGAATTCTTATTTATTAAAAACTCTTATCCATTAAGAATATTTATTCTTAATTACTGAGTAATTCTTTAACTAATAAAATTTTACTGAAATTCAAACTAATTCTCAATTAAAATTTGAGTTAATATTTAACAAAAACCTCAATGATACGAGGGAAAAGAGGTAGGATTAACCAGGTTGACTGTCTCAATAATTTGAAGGTAGACAAACACGTTTAACTGAAAAGGACCGTTTATTGAAGGCTTCTAAGAAATCCTTCACTCACACATGACTGGTCTTCCAATTAACTCCAAAGTCAGGCAAGCGATACCATGTCCTTTTCAATTTGTTTTTCCTCTAGCTCTTTCGGTTGAATGCAATTAAAATCCGTCCAATGTTTATCTCTCACCCTGGACTGGAGTTTAAACGCGTCTATAAATAGATCGAGTTAGGAAGCTAAAAGATATCCAACCAAAAAAAAAAAAAAACATTGCCATGGCTAAGCTTAGGAGCAGTGACAAGAAGAAGAATAGAATTATGAAGCTCAAGATTGTTGCAGAGAAGCTTCATAAGAGTCTTTTGTTAGGAAGGAAATGGAACTCCTTTCGCGACGAACATGATGAAATTCACGATTCAACCTATGTGCCTGAAGATGTAAAGGAAGGACATTTTGCTGTGGTTGCGGAGGATGGTGAGGAACCAAGGAGATTTGTGGTTCCATTGAGTTATTTGACACATCCAACTTTTTTAATGCTCTTGGAACAAGCAGCTGAGGAGTATGGATTCGATCGCGAGGGAGCCTTGACAATTCCTTGCCGTCCAAGTGAACTTGAGAGGATATTAGCTGATCAGCAATGGCAAGAAGGGGAATCTAATGCTAATTTCAGCTAGAGTTCCTGTGAAGCCATGATACAAAGCTATTGAAACAGAAAAGGAGCTACCTGCAGTTTCGAGATATATATATATATATATATATAAATATATAGCTTGATGAATTTAATTCCACCCCGTACTAATTAGTCTTCCTTGTAGACGACTCCATGAATTGTTTTCTGATCATCTCCTTTTTCAATTCATGTTTTCTACTGATACTTCGGGGTAACTAAATGAAATGGAAAAAAAGAAAAAAATCCTAGCTATGTCCTTGAAATTATTCATATGAATTCCTTCATTACGAGAGTAGTATGTGGCCATTTCCGATCAAGCAGAAAAGTCACCAGCACAGCTTTTGAACAGTACTCACCCGAATAAAAGTACATCGAGTAAGAGTACCTAAGCAGATAAATTAAAAGATGGATCTTTGCATCTTACAAATTTGTAATTACTATGACAAATATATGCAAAGAAATTTGGCTGAAAAATGAATCCCCACAACTTCTTTTGGTTTTGACTGTCAAATATTAGTAGCATTCTTTTTTTATAAGCAACATTTAGAGCAAAACATGTCTCAGAGCCTATTCAATACGACTTTTTTGAAAGGATAAAAGTGTGCATTTTTTTTTTTCTGTAGTTAACAATTGAGGAGAGAATATTTGAACTTGATACCTCTTCTTTTTAGAAGAAAATAATGACTATCAGTCAGGCTAATTATGCTTCCACACTTTTGATCCAAAAGCTTGAGATGAACAAACTCTGATAAAAAATCAATTGCCAATGAATAGATAAATGGGAAATTTGGAAAAGCTCATTATTTTTATCTCTCAACATCTCCAGATTGAATACTCTTTAACTTCTTACTTTGAAACACTTCTTAGAATCTTAATTGCTAGCTGTAAGTTTGTAAATCGATCGATGCGTAGCTTCCAAAGATGACAGAAAATATGTCATGAATTTAACTTAGATTTCACTGAGCACTGTTAACCTAGTAGACCTTGTTTCTGCAGGTTCAACTTGCAAAAAATCTAGAGGAAATTCAATAATGAGCTTCCCAACTTAAGCCACGATCAATTTGCTTAATTCGTATGAAAAAAAATTAATTAAGATCTTATTAAGAAATGTTTTAAGAGCTTGTTTCTTACAATTACTCTGTACCAGCATTACACTCAAACCTACAGGAGAATATCTATAAATACCTTGCCGGCCTTGCCATCCTAAATCTTATAACCACATGCATGAGATAAGCTTCAGGTGGGATATCGGTAATTTTGCATTAAAAATATGTTTGGAAATACTTCAAAAATGAAAAGGAGAGGTGATCTGAAATTTGAATTGATTGCTTGTAAATCTTGAAAATCGGTTCCATTCCATAGATTTACAGTGAAAAAAAAAACTCAATTATCATAGAGTACATAATGAAACATTACTCAAACCTAGGTTCCAAAACATTCAGACCAACATTCTCTAGTTAGCTAGCTCACCGCTTTATATCACAAGGATACCGCTACATATTAGAACAATTTTCAAGCATGTTGATGATGGTACAAGACCAAAGGCAATGAAAAAAAAAAAAATTTTTTTTTATCCGAGTCAAATACATTTCTAGCATCTTCGGAAGGAAATGTTCCTTTCGACTGTATTAAAATTTTATATGATTTGGGAAGCCCTGGGGGGGCTCCTCCTCTGCTTTTGGCTATGAGCTGACTATTACAGTGAGGGTCCATGACAGGTTTTGCACATGAAATTGTTTACCCTTTTGTCCACAGCCTCGTCAGATTAGATTGAAAATTCTTTTTTTTGGGATCCCACATAAAGATGAGCTGGAAGGAAAAAGTGCAAAGCTCACACATGATATTTAACAAGGGAGGTGGAAATCATTGAGGATCAATATCATCTTTCTCCTTAAGATATTTTTAGGGCAAACATTGTCTTCTAGCTTCTTGTCTATGTATACAAATCTATATTACTGTTAAAAATGGCCCCAAGGAGACAGCAGTTCATTCACTCAATAGTGAGCAAAAATTGGTCCCATTTGGAGATGCTGGCGTTATTAGAGGACTGATGCGACTACGTACTAAATTAACTTGATGTAACACTTTTGCTAGAAGTAGGATAAATGGAGTAAAATCAATGTATGCGGTACGGCTTAATGTGTGACATATAATCCCTCATTGTTTGCTAAATTACTCGGAGGGAATGCTTAATAGTGTCCGCAGTTTTCAACGTCCACTCAAATGACTTTTTTTTTTGGAACATACCAATCATGAATTTTTTGACTTGCAGTGCAAACTTAAAAAGAAAAATGGAAATTAGGCTTGGGTTTCTTTTGGGTTTTAAAACCCAACCCTTCTCAAAGCCCAACCACATGGTCTTTAGTTGGAGATCAACTCATGTATATTAGGTATTTATTAAAAAAAAGAAAAACTCAGATATATTAGGTTAAAACAATAAAAATTCTTAACCTTTATTATTTTATTTAAATAAATTTATATATTTTTATTATACTCAAATAAATCTTTAACTTTTAATTTGTAATCAAATAAATTTTTAATTTTTAACTTGTATCCAAATACGTCCTTAACTTTTAATTTATATTTAAATAAGTTTTTAACATAAATTAATTTTTCATTTAAAATAAAAATTTATTTGAATACAAATTTAAAGAAAAAGAACTTATTTAGATATAATAAAAATATAAGACCTTATTTAACAATGAAATAATTCAAGGATTTTTTTAGTATTTTAACTTTCATATTACAATTACACTACATTGTACTATCACTTTTATTATTATTATTATTTGAAAAGATTACTAATATCATCTCTATGAAAATATTATGCCTAGCTTGAAAATTCACAGGCTTGGACAACTGCATTATAAAAATGGCATCAAAATTTGCCCTTTTATCTTTTTCTAAATTAGGTTTGGAATTGGTCCCTGTTATACTCCTGACTCATCCCAAAGAGATCCAGGTCCCAGCATGGCGGGTATTGAAACTGCCTGCATGCATATGTAATGAAGACATTTCATGTATCACTCAGTCAAAAGGGTCATTAACTTTAGAATAATAACTTTCAAGGGTCAATCCAAAAGCTAGCTCACTTTGGACAATGAAAAATGGGAAATGTAAGTGATCTAATATTATATGTAGAAGGATTAACACATTGATAGCCATGCATGCAGATCAAACTCACCATCAAGTCAATAGCCTCTCAAGCTTCCTTGGCTGACATGGGATTTCAATGCACCTTCATGAACAAAACCATACTCCTCAAAAATGCAGGGTTGTTCAGATAATTCAATGGAACAACAAATCTTTTCAGGTCATCTTTGTCCATAGCAATTACGGCGAAATGCCCTTCCTTAACATCTTCAGGCGCATTGGTGGATTGATCATCGGAGTTTGAATTCGATTTCTTACCCAAATACAAGACTCCGTCCTAGCTTCTTAGCAACAGTATTGAGCTTAGCCATTTCTTCCCTACCTTCTTTAGCATGTAATAACTTTGGTTTATATATATATATAGTAACATAAGTTTGAGAGCCAAAAAGAAAGAAACAAGAGTACGGGCTCGGTTTGGACGGACAGATCGAGTTGAGAGTCAATGAGGAGGAGAACAGCACATGTGGATAATTTGGGTCGAGCCTGTCAGTTTACCATGAAACGTCCTCTTTTTTCCTTCGACGGCTTCGGTCATGACATGTTCTGCCAGGTCATATCATGTCCGTTCAAAAGTAAAGTAATTATTGAAGCTTTTATCAGTCAGCCGCCTACAATTCATTTGTTTCCAATCTAATAACTCATCCAAATTTGATAGTAGAAGATGTAACATTTAGCAATCCATTTTACATGTTTATCCACTTTATCACTCTAATTCCATATTATTGTTAAACTCTAAAACACAAGATTTCAAGCTTGGTCAAAGTAAAAAAGCCCAAAAAAAAAAAATTATGACTATGTAGAACAAATTTATTTCAAATGAATAAAATGAAAATTTGAAGCTAAAGAGACATGATAACACTTAATAGATGCTCATATCTTTCCCGATAAAAATTATATAAAGTTATTTATGTAAAGTTTGTAAAGTTTTTTTTTATAAATAATATAATAAAAATTATAATAAAAAATTTAAATTAATAGATTAATAAAATTTAATATGAAAATTAATAATATATAAAAAATTATTAAAAATATTATTTATAATTTAAATTTAATTGATACTTATTCAAACGATAAAAATTTTATTAATATTTTTATTAAAAATATCTATTTAATAAATATATCAAAATTCGTTAAAATTTTTTTAAATTTTATACACTTAATTTATATCATGAGATTTTTTAATTTATTAATTTTAATTAAAAAATTTTACAAATTTTTCTTATAAAACTTTATTTAAGTTTTTTCCCCAAGCCCTTGACATTCTCAGCAGATAATGATGCATTGCCAGATGTTTCAATAACTGAACGCTTCTGCACAAGACGACAATTGATTGAGAAACCGAAAAGCCCCAAAAATATTTCGTTGTTCCAAAACTAGGGGGGACTCTCCTGCACCCGCTATCATGTCCACATGCAGCGGTGCAACATTTGAAATATTAGGCCTCGTTTGGAAGCCGAAGGCCAGTGCGGCTCAGTTAAGATCACTTTTTTATTTCAATTGCAGCTGCGAAGAGAATGATGAATATTATTATTAAATTTAATATTGTTATTCTTTTTTGTTACAGCGGAAAGTGATGGTGACGAAGATGCGTCAAGTTGCAGCAAAAAAGTTCTTTGTTTTTTCTCCTTCTTATCCTATGTGACATACTTTTTATATTAATTTAATATTATTATTTTATAATTTAAATTTTTATTTCATACAAATTTTAATTTAATATTTTTAATTATCATTTTCTTCTCATCGTAATTTAACTCATAATCACCGTTATATTTATATTCAAATATATATTTTTATCATTAATTTTAATATTTTCGTTACAATAATCAACTCACATTTATTATTATTTTTAATTTTATCGAAATCAATCTCACTATTTATCTAAATGGATATTTAGCTTATGAATTTTGCCGAATTTTGTAAAATTTTTATTAAAAATAATTAAATTTAAATTTAAATTAAAAGTTTAAATTAATAGATTGAAAATTTTTGTTACATGAATTAAGAGTACAAAATTTTAAAAATTTAAAAAATTTTGATATTTTTTAAATAGGATTTTATAAAATTTTTATGATAAATAATTGCCGATTGAGATGAAGATATATAATTGTATCTTGGTTTATTAAACCTACAATTTAGAATACGGGTCGAAAAGCCTATCCATATGTGATTTTAGAGATGGGTTTTTTTTTTTTTTCATATAAAATTTCATTGGCTATGACAAGAAGTAACCTTATAGTATCTCATAAATCTAATCACTTAATTAACTGTGAAAATTCAAGTTTGAATCCTTCAAAATTCAAATTGAAATATTTCATATATATTATATTCGATTCTTTAACCCCAAACATTACCCTCACAATTCTTCAACCCAAGCACACCCATAGAATGCATTGTCTGCTCTATCCTCTTCCGTGGTAAAGATGGAATGTGGAAATGAAAAAGTGCAGAAAAGTTCATAGAAGAAACATTTTATAGATTAGTTGGGTGGGAGATTCAGGTCTAGCTGTCATCACTCATCAGATATTTGTAGAGGCGACATGAAATGAAAGTACCCCATCTCCTTGATGAGAAGCAACAGCATTATTGTAAATGGTCCACATATTACATAATGTTGTTGGCAACTTTCTTCATTTATATTTTTTGTATTAAGGGAAGGAGGGATTCAAATCCTGTTTTATTCGAAATTAAAATATATATTCATTAGATGCTTCTCATTGGAGTCCCACTTGAACGATTAGAGAGAAAAAAAAAGATGAACATCCGATGTTGGATATTTAGAAATTTATTATTGTCTTTAAGAAAAAGGTACTAATATATATATATATATATATATATATATATATATATATACACATACAAATCGACAAAGAGAAATCAAAACATTTAAAGATAAATAATAAAAAATGTGAATGTAAATAATAAGAGATGATTAAAAAAAAATAAATGAAAAATCAAAACTTTTAAAAATAAATCACAAAAAATATGAACATAAATAATAAGCGATGATAAGAGGATTTAAAAAATAAATAAAAAGATTATTTTTATAAAATGGAATCATGCAAAAAAATTTAAAACTACAACTTAACATAATTTTTTTTTTTTTTATAGTTGATCTCAAAATTATAAAATATAAAACTTTATTTATTGATGTTCTATACATACATCGATAACATGTCAATATGAAAAGGTCTTGGATATGAGAAAAAATATCTCCTTGTAGGACAGGCACGTCCTACAACATGTACATGTTGAAAATTTCGGGTGTTTTTGGTTTTCAGAAAATTAAGATAAAATTTTGTTAATGTGTTGAATCTGGATGACCATTATGGATATGCTGGCAGGTGGGTCTAGACAAAGGCCCCCTCCCCGCCCTATACTTTTTGAAAATCCTGTTCGTAACCAATAATTTGTGCATGACAGGCACCATATTTCTAAACTTTATTGTCCCAATGAAATACTCTCAGTTAAAGCAAGTTGAAGGCTCAAACTTGGACCATAGCAAAGCCCAAACCTCATTGGGTTAGGAGTGAACTATCAAAACGAAAGCCTCTGTTTCAAAGTTGGGCTTTGCAGGTTATTCCTGTTTTATTTAATAAATGAAATGAGGAACATAAAGGTTAAAATAACAAGTGTTAAGATTAAAATGATCATAGATGTCAAGAAGATTACCCAACGATGAATTACTAGTATTAATGCTGAAAAATATTCAAATGATTACAACAACTTACATGTAAAATTATTGTATTCATGTAAAACAGTACACAAAACAATCCTAGCTGTCTATAAACCAATCGTTTTATGTTGCGACTCACTTGTCTCTGATGGCTCAAAACGCCTAATGAAATATTAAGACTCAGCTAGCTCATTCTACACCAAATTCTAGATTATTCTGAAACTAAAATGGTATGGGATGCAACAGGCTCTTTGGATTCCATGAGTGTGGTTAGTAATATCTATCAAAAGAATAAAAAAGCCACTAAATAAAAAGCATGTTGTTAGGATTTGTTTATAAATATCCATGTATACTTATCTTTTTGGAAGGATGAAGTATGCGTTTACAAACAGAGGAGGCAGTAGAAGACAAGTGGCATAAAAGCATTATCGAGTTGCGTTGTGTAGGCCTCCAACAAACCACTTGTGGTCACGGCTATGAGAAGAGGGAACCAGTGCTGCGGAATTGGAATTTAAGACATCACTATACATATGATGTATAATAACCCAAACAATAAATTAGGTCCACAGAACCATCTAGGTCGCAGGCTGAATTGACTCATCTAGGAGAGTGAAGTCTACATTTATGATGCCAATTCAAAAAGCTTACGAGTTTTTTTTAATAATCAGAAAGAAACTGACTTAGCCAGGTTGGATGTTTCACTGAACAAATTCATTCCAGGCTAAGTTGCCAAAAATGAATTTATGATGAGTATTCAGTCAAAACGTGCGTGTATTTGTGTGTGTGTGTGTGTGTGTGTGTGAGAGAGAGAGAGAGAGAGAGAGACCTGAGTTAGAATGTATCCTGTGGATGCCAAAAGTGGAAGCAGAACAGAGCAAGCAGCGAGGACAGATGTTATACCAGCTGCAGTGCCTTCGATAGTTTTCTCTGAAGTGTAAGAAGTTTGCTAGAGTTAGCGGTATATTATAATACCCTTGGAAAAAGCTTAAGCATTAAGAAATAATAAAAGAAGAAGAGAGAAAGAAAGAAAAAATATTCTTACTGCCAGTTTTGCTCCACCTAAGGACACCATACTTGTGGCCAACCATTGATGCCTAAGCATAAAAGCAAAACAATTATACCTTTATGATCAACTTGGAAGGAGTAGTATTGGCAGGCAGCTAATTTGATTATTTTGTAGACATTTTCATACTTATACCTTTATTAGTTGTTGATTATCCACATTGTTAAAAATTATTTTGTAATATAGCCATAATAAGGAGTCCCACTCCCTGTGGTTACTTCGTAAGTGTGGCACTAATGGTGGCAGTGGAGTCAAGGGGTTTTTTTAATGCTTAATTAAAGATGGCTAAGGCTTTTCCCTTCTCTCTTTCTGGATTGGCTTGGAGTAGAAAACTTGTCTAGGTTTAAAAACTTTGGCCATGTTCACATGGGATGTTAACACTGTTAATCATTTGATATTGAGCAAATTCAAGTGGAAATTTGCATAAAATTTTAGTTCAAGAGCCAAATTTAACCTCAAAGAAAAGCAAAAGAGAAGCAAGTGACAACATCAAAACCATTGTGACACATGGCACAATATCAACAAGTGATGATAATTGCAAACATTATGCGACTTTTTTTTTTTTTTTTATTAAAGTAAGAAGAAAGAGCCTGCCAGCAAAATTATGGGAAGAGGGAGAGGGAACAAGCTGGCATGAATTTTTGGAAAGGAACAATTGTGCTAATGATATGTCAGAGTACGCCATTTTCCAAATATCTAGAAATTCTCAGGTAAATAAAAAAGTGAGAAATTTGAAATGGCAAGAAATTGAAGGCCCCAACGGCAACAATAAGCACACTTACCATTGTATCTCCAATGCCAAGGCTTAAAATTCCAGCAAAAGGGGTAAGAGGTCGATCATTGAACCCAGAGGACATCCAGATAGGAAGTGCACATCCCAATAAGAGTGAAAAGTGGCTACATAAATCAAAAAGGGACCTTACTTGAACTTGCTTGCAACAAGTATATGCATTTTAGTTTCCAGTAATGGTAACATGTCGTACCTGACAATAAGAAGATCCGAATCACGATGATCTGTAAAGGCACTCATAAATTGATGCACAAGTTGCCCTAAAGGCCAAATTCTCCAAACCTGGCTACAAGGAAAGGTTATGCAACATCAACCAAGAAACTGTAAAACAAATCAGCATTTTCCCAGCACATTACAAAATGCAGACCCTGTTAATTTGTGATACTTGCAAAAATACTATCCTTCAAAAATCTTAACTAGTGAACATTGGGACAGAAAGTAGAGCAACTTCACACAACATGATTACTTGATAAATTGTCAACATCTAGAAAATATTTGCAAGTTTGGTGAACTTACTCGAATAATTTCTAACACCAAGAAAACTGCCAAAGATGCACCAAATGCTAGATCAAGAAATTTTGGCTGGAAAAAGTAATTACAAAGTCAACATAATATCTAAGCAAACCACTACTAGAATGACGGAGCAAAAAAAGGTTGCTAAATAATTGATACATGATACTCAGATCACCTGGTAAATAAGAGCGGGCAGAAACATTGAAACAGCTAGCAGATGGTAGTATTTTCGAAGAAGAATCCTCTCGATCTTACTATTCTTAGAAATGTTGTAGAACCTCAAGACAGATGCATATATCAAACCCAACCAGTAGATGCATAGTGACAGTCTTTTAAATGGTTCCGAAAAAACAAACTGGAATATCCTGTTAAAATGTAGGATGAAAAAATAAGATACTTAGAAAATTTGGCAGAAAACAGCAGACAGCATGAGAAAAACCAAATAATGGTAGCATAGGAAGAAAACCGTCATTATCTGTAACAAGAATTCCTTTAAATTCATCTGATAGCATAGATCAGTTTTTTCTCTGCTGCACAACCTTTATATATAGAATGCCCGACAAAGAACTGTAGCACAAATAACTTGCAACCCTAGGCTATAAGTATTCTAATAGCAACACCAGAACAACATAGTTTTATCAAATACCATAGAAAGCAAACCACCCATTACACCAATAATACCTATAACAGTTAAACTTAAAGCACTAAAACCTCTTGATAAACACCTACTTACCTCCGCGTCAGATTAGATTACAAAAACCAAATGTAAAGGAGATAGATAAAAGTCAAAGAAAAGAGATGTTGATAAAACAACATTATAATAAAAGTCATATTAAAAACATCTTTGAACATTGATATACCATAATACGGGATGTACATCAAAATCTAGGACAATCATCATCCAAGATGGGGCAATGGCAATCATGATAAATCCAAGGGAACTAAAGAATATAAGAGATCTCCCAATTTCTTTGCTTTGTCTTGATTCAGAGTTGTTAGCTACCCAAAAGTATTCCCATAAGCGGATAACAAATTTAAAGACTGCTGAAAAAATAAGAAGTCCAAGCAGCACACCCTGCACAGAAGGAACAACTTTCACTATCTAGCTAGACCATTTACAAAGAATTTCATCACTTGAGATCCATACCTGAATAATGATACCTATCTCACTTCTTTTAATTCCATATCGTATGGATACTAACTCTGGTGAAATCAAGAGTCTACAGACCTGTTAAAACAATGTCATTAACATTAAAATGCTAATTCTGCCGGATTTTTCAGCCATAACAGCCTGTATCTGGTGTGCTAAAGCAGCCCAAACCTTTGAAATGGTACATGCCAACATGTCACCAAAATAGAGTACCAGACCTGAAGTCACCAAAAGAGCTTCCCCTGCAAAAATGAGGGACATAAAATATTTTTTCAGCGTGCTCAGTAAGAAACACTTGGGTGATAAAAGTTGACATACAGAAAGAGTAACATGATACAAACCGATTGAAGCACAACATGGGAACGTATTGAGAAGATGTTGAATTAATTTCACTGCTGCAAATCCATGACATAGCAACCATAGTAACTTTAAAGCTGTGTTAAAGCCTGTATGCAGACAAATGAAACCATTCGTTACTCAATGCAAGTAAGCTAATTTTTCACCTCCACAGCTTACCATAATAACAGAAGGACTAACTTACCAGTATGGGATATTGTGGCAAGTGAAATACAGCAAACCACCGAGTATAAGATGACACAGCTTAAGCTAAACTTTGAATCCCAAACACTACAGGAGAAATGGGGATTCTTATTGTTGGCAGCATACCACAAAACAATGGAGAGGAATATAAGCACACCGCAGCAACAAGCCGATGTGGCCCAAAATTGCATTGTCATATGTTCAAGCTCTACACACAAATATCAAACATAAATCCATAATTTTCTTATATATTTCCTACAATTCTTTGTAGAATTCATTTGTGAATCTATAATTTACTTTGTTAATCCAACTACAAGAACATTTTTTGAGGCGAAAATGAATACCTCCAAGCTCAATTTTTTGCAAAGACAAAGCTCTCGAGAGCTGAATCAACTTCGAGAGCATTACAGTTGGCAACGTAACTGCTCCTAACATTATTCCCGATGAAGCACCTGGCCTATTAAACAAACAAAAATTCAAACTTTCATATTAAAAAATAAAAGAATTTAACCATATTAAAAAATAAAAGAATTTAACAAATTGAGACTCTCTAAAACCCTAATTCTCCAATTGGAAATGAAGTGCAGTTTTTTTTTTACTTGCCTGGTTTTGAAGAGGGAGAGGGAACCGTCGTCGGCGCGGAACTCGACGAAGATGGAGAAGAGGGAAAGAAGAGAGAGGGAGAGGGCTTGGGGGAGGAGAGAGAGCGGTACAGAAGATAGAACACGGAAGACGAAGAGGAGAACCACGGCTCTCTCTCCGTTCATCGCCTTCGACGGCGAGATCGCCATGGCAGATCGGAGAGGATTAAACGGGGGCTTTACGTAAGTAGGTTCGGTTTGTCAGAATTCATTTGGTTGACGCGAAAGTTCGTTGAACTGCCGCCTGCACCACGGGACCCACGTTCTTGGAATAGTCTTTTTTTTTTTTTTTACTAAATTCTAAATAAATACTAATGTACTGGCAAAAGTATATTCTAAATACTATTGCGGTAATGCCTTGGCTTTTCCTTTACTCATTCAACACATTTTCGATTTTTCATAGTTTTATTATTTATTTAGCATTCTTTTTATTTAGTCTTGGGTTGTAGATTTTCGGTATATTTAATATCATTTTTGTTTTCATTAATTGATGTTCCATAATTTTTAATATTAAAATATTTTAAAAATTTGAAAAAATAAATTGGCAACAAAATATATATATGTAAAAGATTTTTTTTTTTTTGTGTTAGACTATTAATACAAAAACTAATTCTAAACATTTTTGTGCAAATGAATTACTAGTTTGAATCTAACTTCTAAATATAGTACATGATCGCTATATATATTGTGACTTATTTTGATTGCTTTTTCTTTGAAGATTTTGATAGAGGTATTAATGAGTAGGATATGAATAGGGTAGAATATTTTTTATGTTAATTTTCGTTCTCGTATTTGAATTTTATATTAAATATATCTATGTACCCATACTCAATGGATGTTTTATCTTGTATATTTTAATAATTTTTTTATAAATATATTTTGATAATTTGTCTCTATTCACATTCTCATAGATATTTAATAGGTATGGGTAATTTTTATACTCATAACTTAAAAAAAAATAAAAAATTATTTTTTTAATTTTTAAAATTTTTTCTTGTATATTTTAATTTTTTTATAAATATGTATTAATATATATTTTTCAAAAAAATATATTTAATTTTAATTAATCTAAAATAATAATTTATATTATTTAATAAAAATATATTTATTAAATATATATAAGATACAGGCATAGGGTAGGTATTATATTACCTATCTCCATCTTCATAAAAATATAAAATCATATACATCTCTATTTTTATACTAACGATAAAATATCCATTCTCATTTCCATTTAGATAAAAAATTAAATTTCTCATTAAATAAGGATAAAATTGGCATTTCTTATAATCATTTCCAAATGCAAAGTTCCATATCCATTGCCTAATCAAATTTTGCAGTGGTTATCTGCTGTTTACTTGTAAAAGTCCACAATTTGAAGGAAGAAAAGACACAGCAACTTGGCATTTTGAGAAGGGTTAGAGACGTCCAAAGACTAGAACTTTGGCATTACAATCTATATAGAAAATAATTGGAACTGACACACTTAACTCTTTTTTTTTTCTTTGGAGTTATAATCTTAATTCCTCAAATTATTTTCTAATTGATTAGACCTTTTTCTATGATCAACCATCTATAAATTAAGCATTATTAACCATTTATGTCATATTTATACATATGCATTTTATTAAAAAAAAAAATCAAATCATACTATTTGAATGGGAATTCATGCATTTATCGTTTTAATTTAAATGTTTGGGTACTACTACGACATGTGTAGTGATTATGCTATGCTTTTTGTAATAGGATAAAGCAATACTAGAAATATGTACATCAATTGTATGGGATGGAAGAAAAAAAAAAGGTCTTTTACAGAAAAATATAAATTAAATATGAGTAGTTTTGTTAAAGAATTAGTTTTTTTTTAAAATATATTTTAAATAAAAGCAGAAAGACATGACTATCTTTAATTTTTTTTAATAATTTTATTCATTGAGTTTGTATCATTCTTTACATCTTACTCTCATTATATGTAGCATAAACATAGATAAAACAAAATTATCTAAATTGTACCTTCAATCTTGAAATTTTTTTATTTTTATTTTTTTATTTTTATTATTATTATTATTATTATTATTATTATTATCACTACCGTTAACTTTAGGATTAAATTTATCCTATCATAGAAAGAAAATAGGCAAAGGTGAGTATTATCCATCCATATCCGCAACTGGCGCAAAGTCGGTCATTCTAGTACTATGCTCAAATTAGTCACGACGTAAATGATAAAAGAACCTTCAAAAACTCATACTCTCTCTTTTTTACAAAAACACATCTCTCTGCCTCTGCAACTTAAAGGTCCTAACAATGGCAGAGAGAACCCAAAAGCCGCATGCAATCTTCATACCTTACCCTCTTCAAGGCCATGTAATACCATCCGTGCACCTAGCCATCAAGCTAGCATCAAAAGGTTTCACCATCACCTTCATCAACACCCACGCCATCCACCACCAGACTACCAAGGCCCAGCCTGAGGTAGAGCCGGACATCTTTTCTACTGTCCGTGAATCAGGCATGGACATACGATACACTACGGTGTCTGATGGGCTCCCTGTTGGGTTCGACCGGTCCTTGAACCATGACCAGTTCATGGCAGCCTTGTTGCATGTGTTCTCCGCCCATGTAGAGGACGTGGTGAGCCAAATAATACGGTCAGGTGAGAGGGTTCATTGCTTGATTGCTGATACTTTCTTTGTATGGCCTTCAAAGATTGCAAAGAAGTTCGGATTGCTTTATGTCTCTTATTGGACAGAACCAGCTTTGGTCTTTACATTGTACTATCACTTGGATCTTCTTAGGGTAAATGGTCATTTTGGTTGTCAAGGTAAGTGTAACTCATTGCAAATCTAACATTTCATAAAATATATGAAAAAAATATACATAATTTTACTGAATTTTTTTTATCAGATTGTCGTGAAGACACAATAGATTACATACCAGGAGTTCCAGCAGTTGAACCGAGGGATATGATGTCATATCTTCAAGAAACTGATATCACATCAGTGTGTCACCAAATAATTTTCCATGCATTTGAAGATGCAAAAAATGCTGATTTTGTTCTATGTAACACAGTTCAAGAACTTGAACTTGCGACCATATCAGCTCTACGTGCCAAAGTCCCGTTTTATGCCATTGGGCCCATTTTCCCACCTGGGTTCACCAAGAGTATTGTGGCTACAAGCCTTTGGGCCGAGTCTGATTGCACCCAATGGCTAGACAAAAAGCCTCATGGCTCAGTTTTGTACGTGTCTTTTGGTAGCTATGCCCATGTTAAAAAAACTGACCTAATAGAGATAGCTAACGGACTTTTGCTTAGCAAGGTGAATTTTCTTTGGGTGCTTCGGCCTGATATTGTGAGCTCTGATGATGCTGATCCCCTGCCCGTTGGATTTAAGGAGGTGGTTGGTGACCGTGCGGTGATCATACCCTGGTGTTGTCAAAATGCAGTGCTGGCCCACCAAGCAATAGGAGGGTTTTTAACTCATTGTGGCTGGAATTCGATACTTGAGAGTGCATGGTGTAAAGTTCCCTTGCTGTGTTACCCTTTGCTAACCGATCAATTCACTAATAGAAAATTAGTGGTTGATGATTGGAAGACTGGAATTAATTTGATCAACAAAAAACCCATCACAAAGGAGGAAGTTTCTGATAATATCAACCGTCTGATGAGTGGAAAATCAGGGGATCATTATAGGAACAAGGTCAAGGAGGTGAAGGAAACATTAGAAAATGCATTGACACCCAGTGGATCAGCAGAGAAAAATATGGATCAGTTCATCAAGGAACTGAAGGATAAGATTCAAATCAAACTCCCAATAGCCTTGTAACAATTATCATTCATCATTTGGACTAGGGTTTAATGATTTCAATTTGAATATCATCATCATCTTCTTCTTTTTGTTATTGCCATTTGTTCTTTAACATTCCCAATCCAGGATGTAATTTGGACTCAATGCCAAATTGTCAACGACACGCCAAAATTTGTCTGTGTCACCCTAAACCCAACATTCCAAAAACTTCATGTGCATGCTTTTTTCCCTCTGAGGTCAAATTCAATCCATCGACTGATGTTGTGGACAAAGCACCATCTTCCATAAAGAGCAACCTTTTATTCTGTCCATCAAAATTTAAACACCGGAAGATGCGCCATTGGAAATTGTACGAGAATTTAACATTAGGCTCAGGTGATATCTTTCCCAATGACTGATGCATCCAAATTTGGCACTCCTTTCTAAGATCAAATTCACAGGCTAAATTATGAATGATAACATTGGATTGGACAAGCAAAGCTAGAAGAAAAAGGGATTATACAATTGGAATAGCCGATAGAGATTTTGATAGTACCATTTGTTTTCATCTCAGGTTGTTGAATTGCAATTACACTGGCAAAATCTAGGTAGGGATACATTTTTCCTTGCACGAAAATGTAGCAAAACGAACACAGGAATTCTATATCCAACTGCCATGAGAAACAATACCAGTAAATTCTCCCATTTGGAATTGCTGCTAGAAGAGATATCATATGCACTATGGAGTGCCTGAAACCCAGATATGGTCCTCACCTGCCCAACGGCAAAATTGATACGTAGGTACTCATTCTCCAAAAGCCCCTATTGACCAAAACATAAGTTTCAAAATTAAAGATCCATTCAGCAAAGTTAAAATTTCCCAGAATGGTTTCTAATGCATATGGAGACTGAGTATGAGCAACTACAGTTGATAACAATGAAATAATATGATGCTGGGCAATGTGGTTTGTAATAAGGAACAAATGATCTAATGTTATAAAGATGCACACACCTGGATGGAATAAGTGTGGAAAGCAATGTATGATAATGGATATGTCCACACAGGTCCAGGCAACTCATTTCGGATTCTGAAATAGCCTGCCGCAAGCATCATTACCACCTGAGACATCATGCATTTTGATCGTAAGATTGCTAAGCCTAGGTGGAAAATAAAGATTGGAAACGAAAATAATTCTAAAAATGTAGACAATCGAGAACAACTAGTTTTAGGTGCAGCACAAAGCACAATTAGTCTTATATATAGTGAAAACTCACATGTATGATTACAAGTGTTAAGACACTCCAGAAAATATTTTGCCACAAAGAAGCAACAGCCAGCATCAACCCTTCATTTACCAAGAGGCACATGAAGAAATTCAGCACAAAGTACATCAGCAAGCTGAATTCATCTCGCAATCCTATTAAGAAATAGAAGACAAGACTTGATGATATGGAGATGAGGAAAAGGAACGGAATGCTGGAGAGAAGTTGCCCAAACAGAAAGACTAAAGCTCCTGAATGCTGGTTTGACTCCTCGATGGCATATATCTGTGAAGTAGAAAAGCAATTTGAGCATGACAAAAGAAAGGGCCCAATCATGCAACTTTCCAAATTGGAGGAGGAAATCACAAAATTTAGAAAACTTCTCTTATTTATTAGTTAAGATGGGAGGGGATATTCAAATTGGAGACCTCCTTTTACAAGGAAAGATGTGGCTGCCATTAGGCTATTGTCTTGGCCAAGAACTTCCAGAGGCCATCACACTCAAACCAAAAAAACAAGGTACCAAAGTCGAGTAGGATCACCTTGATTTCTTTCATTAGTGCAGGTACTCCAGCGATGCTTAAAAGCGAAGTAAATGATACAAATACAAAAATTGCTGCAACTCTTGTCTGCAATGAGAAAACATAAAAGTTAGAAACACACCCCTGCTTCAGTAATTGTTCAGAAATACAAATCCAAATAAGTCAAACTTCAAAAAGCAAGATAGAACACACCATTCATCTGAGAGGCAGGAATCATTATGATGAATATTGCATATGTTTTAATCAAAATACATTTTCTATTTGCTTATCATAACAAGGTCTGACTGTAATTTGCTACAAAAATACCCACAAAACGCATCTCTAGGACTATCACTTCATTGACTGGATGAAATGAATATTGAAAAAAAATTTTGGTACAATAAGAATGACAGTTTTTAAATTATTTAAAGTTACTTGAGAAATTCTACATTCAAAAAAGAAAGCTAGTAGAAGTGCACCTGAGCAGCTCAAAAAGATCTGCTACTTACCATGAAAGTATGACATTAGCACATGCTGACGATGACAAACCATCAATAGAAGCAGTAAGCATAAAAATAAGAAAAATATTCTACAGAGAATAAACATGATGCAACTATAAAAACTATAGATATATGCCATTACAAATATTTACAAAACCAGTTTGGATTAAATTAAGTCAAATTCACCTAAAACATAAGAGCAAAGATATTTTGACTCATGCACATTTTTACTCACCACAACTGAGGACAAAGAATGTCCCAAGCCTGAAAATACCGTTCCAATACACAGTGTAAGAAGCATATAAAGAATAAGACGAAGCCAGTAGTATTTCCATTCCCTTGACATAATTAATAAGGATCTCCAAGTCAATACTGCAATTCGTGTGGCACTACTAGCCTTTCCCTTGCTTTTGAGAAGTGGACCTTCCTGTAGAATGCAACAAAAGTGAACAAAAATTACGAAGGCTGACTTATAGCCACCATAAGACTCAAGGAAGTCATGCAAGAAAAATACTAAGATACATGGTAAACAGATGTCAGCCATCTATACTCCATCATACCCTCAACTTTGCTCATTCTAACCTTTAATGTACACCTGAGGTATATTAAACTACTCCTTGTAATGTATAATCAAACAGTAAGGACTGGAGAGCACCATTAGTTGCAAATCTAACACATGCCCCAAATTAATATAATAACCAGCCACACACGATGATAAATGTAAGTAATGCTTCCTATAATCCTATTATTAATGGCCAAGAAATTATAAATGGTTCAACACGAATAAGGATACATATTCTACCTTCTCTGTGAGTCTCAGAATCATATTTTCAACTGCAGTAGCATCAGCCGATGATTTATATGTTGTCTCAAGAGTACGAATTGCAATGGCAGTATCCATATTCACAGATGAAAAGTCCCCATTGTCATCCTGTCACAATGTCCCAGTTCATATAAATTATGCAAATTGTAGCAACATTAAAGACAGGAAACCATTATTCAAAGGAAAAATAGTAAAACATAGAAACAGTTCAGATTGGTAAGACCTCCATTTTAGTAGGATCATAACTGGGTAATGACTATTTTTCTAATTTAAGTGACATAAAAGGCACAGCCAAAAATGATGGACTAGATGTAGTATGATGATTTAATACCAAATATACTAGAGTTATAAAATGAAATAACATAATGCACCATACAAGCATCTTTAATCCTCTTAATTTACCATCAAGCCAACATTATCCAACAACTTTTGAGATCTGACTCAAATGTTTTATAACTCTTTCATTTTTGGGGTTTAACTTGTTCTCTCTAAGTACCAATGAGGCTTCGAACTACAACATACAGAATGAGAATCATTCATTACCTGCCAATTTTTGCACATTGCAATGATCCTGTCAAAATCTGTATTTATGGCACGTAGAAAGTGATCAGAAGGACTTTGCATAATTGGGCAAGGGAATCCAGCATTTGAGAAGTGCTTCATCAAGAAAAGGGAGATAAATTAGAATACCCAGAAGGCACAACAAGTACTCATCACGAAAAATTAAAAGAAAAGAAATTTCTTCATAAATGGATTGTATCTTAGTTTCCTAACTCCACATTAGGGAACCAAGTCCAAGTAAGCATATAACAGAATTTTAATTGGACTTTTTTTTTCTTCCATATCAAATGATGCTTACATCATTAAGTCACTAACAAAAGAAAATCAAAACAAAGATAAGAGCAGCAAAAATAATTATATATACAATCAGTTACCTGCAAACAAGCTAATGTTTCCCCAAAAAACAGGGTGTTTCCATTTGAAAGCAGACAGATATGATCAAAGAGACCAAAAACTTCTGTACTGCTCTGGCAAATGGTGAAAATGAGAGTGCATCCTGTGCTTGCAAGTTTCTTCAGTGTTACCATCATTAAAAGGGCAGAGACACTGAATAAAATAAAATACTAAAATTTAGCAGTAACATAATAAATCATCTTGATTCTCTGGAAAGTAGATGGCACACCAATCATACAGTCAGCCTGGTAGAGCATGCAGAAGACAAGGAACATGAAAAATAAAACACTTTTAAGAACAAATTAAGGAACATAAATAAATAAATAACCTACCTGTCAAGATGATAAAGAGGCTCATCTATAAATAAGATACGTGGCCTCATCACGAGTTCCCGAGCAATGCTAACACGCCTTCTTTCACCACTAGGAAGGCCTTTCATATAGCAGTGACCACCAATCAGTTTGTTTGCATAGTCACCCAAGGACATGGCATGGATGGCTTCCTCTACCACACTCTTTTTCTGACAGAAAAAACCAGGAAGTTGGAGCAAAGCTGAGTAGTATAGATACTCCCGGACTGTGAGTGAACCAATTAGAGTGGTTTCCCTGTCAACAAATCCCTGAAAATTGAATATTTCAAAGTAAAAAAAAAAACCAACCTTGAAACAGAATGCTTCCTCGAAACTTCTGTTCAACTAAAATAGAATTAATTTTGAAAAGGAAAACATTTAAAACTAGCACTATCACAATAAGAAAAATTAGCCCGGTTTCAAGAAAAATAATATGGAGCTTAGATACATATAGGAAACAAAAATCAAATATCAGTTCAAAAAAGGGAGTTCATTGAATCTTGATTCATGATGCTTGCTAAATTGGAAACCTAAGTGGGATTGAGTATCAAAGGATTAATCACCTAAGAGAATTCACATAATGAGACGAGTGAAAGAAACAAGGACTATAAGATGATTCCTATAATTTATGATTCAAAACTGGACTGGGACTTGTTTAGACAATTTCAAGTATAATTCAACTTCTGTTAGGTCAGTTGTACATATTATAATTGCAAAAACACAAATCCAAAAAGTTTTACAAGAAAAAAAAAAAAAGAATGGACATCAATTTGAAGATAAAAAGTAGCCACTTTTACCAGCAAAGAATCATCCTATCAACATAACAACCATAGGAAGCATCAAAAGTGATATCTAAAAGTTCCTCCCTTCATGAAAATGTAATGGAAACTCACATATGAACCATAAGGCATGTCCTTTTTAGCCCCATTCACGAATACTTCACCATACATTTTAGCCGAAGGATGTAATCTTCCTAAATTCAAGAGAAAACAGGATTTTAGTCTTAAAAATCTGGAATGAAACATAGGAAAAGCATAAAAAAGTGGTTGCTCAATAAGTAGCAGATATAAGAGTCATGCTAAAAGACCTGCAATAGCCCTTAAAAGTGTGGACTTCCCAGATTTTGCAGGACCCATGATTACTGTCATTGTGCCACGTAATGCATAACCATTTGAGCTCTTCACAACCTTATTAGAATATTTCCTTTTCCCCTTTATAGTAACAGTCAAATCTTTCCACACAACTGATGCACCAGCAATTTTTCTTGCAACAGCTGAACCCTCTGGCAGCGGTGGTGAGGGCAAGGACCCACTATTGAGCTTTGAGAGAGACAGGGAGACTGGCGTGGTTGCAGCATTGATAGAGTCACCTCCTTCCTCCACCCTGACATCCACATCTGTATCTTCCCACTGGGGCGAATCCTCAAATGAGATAGGTTGTCTGAGAGAACCAGGCTTCCGCAAATAGAAAAAGTTACTTGAGGGCACCCTACTTGTGGGACTACTGGCTGAAGAGGATGAAGACCTATAATTGTCTGACTGAGACTGTATTTCTTCCATTTATCACTCCTGATTTCCAAACCTTCCGATTGTAGAAACAGCACTGGCAAATGAATTGGGAACTTGATCGTATCCCACTTAAATAATTAATTGATCACACTGATTTATAACTGCACACATGGCTGTACATGTAAACTTTCAATGCCATCACAACCCCTAATTAAAACATCGTGTCAACTGCTAAATGGAAATTAATATTAAGCAATGATTCTGAAATTCCTACTAAGGGACCGTAGGAAATCCAATGAGTTTAAAGTCTAACTATTAGGTATTTGAATTTAATTTCCTCAAAATGCAAAGGAATTTGAATGTAAAAACCTCAGCCTGTATTCATTATTGGATAATTAAACAAAAGATTGCCCATCCTTTCAAACAAAATCAGAAGCTAAACTTTCATTGAGATAATGAATGCAATGCAAAATGATCAATGGAGCACAAAAAAAAAAAAAAAACCAATAGCCCAAAATTTCAAATAATCCAACAATCCACATCAATGTAAACTATTTGTCAGCATAACAAAGCAAAATACTAATCCATTTGACCTTTCCCCTGACCACGTATTATCTGTTTACTTGATACAACACCAATACCCAGTACTCCATTTCATTACCAAGAAAAAAACCTCAATCCTTCAACTTTTTTGTCTTTTCTTAGTAAACTTAAGTAACCAACAGCAGACAAACTAAGCTAAGATCCCATGTCAAAAAAAAGCAAACTAAAACATAATAAGAAGAAGAATCAAAAGCTAAAGAGAAGTGTGAGGAAGAGACAAGCCTGGATCCGAGTAATAGAAAGAACTTCAATGACAAGGAAAAACGACAGGGAGTTAGAATGTGAGAAGAGTGGAGTGAATGAAACCAAAGCCTTGGTTTTTTATATTCCTACTACCAAAAAAAAAAAAAGAATCTAAAAACTCGGCAAATGTTCTTGGATTACTTGACCCGCTTTTGGCGGGTCTCTCTTTATAATCGTTTTCTTGCTTTGCTAGTTGCTTCCATTGCTGAGCATCTCTCTGTCTACTCTAAAGAACTTTCTTTTGTTTTTTTTTATATTATATTAAGCCTTTTTGTTTTTGTGCGTTTGATGTTTCTCTTTTCCAAGGGTCGCTTTAATTTATTCTGAGAAGAATGTAATGATGTTAGTTTGCCAATCATACCCCTTCAAAAGCGCTACTCTTCGTTACTTTATCGTGATTTATTCTCCCCCTTAAAAAAAATAAATACAATTCTACTAATGTATATTATTAATTTTATAATATAATATAATATAAATTTCCCTAACACACATGGCCAGTCTCAAATTCAAATAAAATGAGAAAGATTGCGAAAGAACGACGGTTAATATAAAACATAATTAAATTATGATATGAAATGAAAATAGAATTTTTAATATAATATATATATATTTTTTAATTATTTCATGTCGCTGGTGATATCAATTAAATTAAAATTTTTTAACATAATATAGATATACTAAAAGTCTTACTCTTGCACAAAAAAAAAATTTGTAAGCGCTTTGAAAGAAATTGTGTCCACAAGATTTGTCAAATTTTCAATTTTGTTGTGTTTTCGTATTGTTTTTATCAATCATTTAAGAGTTTTGGTTTGCTTTTTGACAGGACGTGAATTATTCATTAGTTTTTTCTATTATTATTATTATTATAATATTTCAATTATAAATCGATAATGTTAAGAAAATTTGTTATGATATAAATTAAAATTTAAATTTAAATTTATGAGGTATATTTTATAAAATAAAATCATAAAATTTTTAAATCAAAATAAATAATATTTATAAACTAAAAATAAATTTTTATAAATAATATCAGAGTATTATCAATCGAACCGAAACTAATTATTTCATTATAAAAGTTATTTTTAGAATCATATAAGAGCTTAATAATATTCAATAGAAATCACTTTTAAAATTTTAACGTTTGATATGATTTTAAAATTTTATATTTTTGTGTGTGTTTTATATTAAATTTATTTGTAACGTTAAATTATAACTAGAGAAATTTGTGATATTTAATATTATATCGAAATATTATGAGAATTTATTATAATATATAAATTTAATTTTATAAAAATATCACAAAAATTTTTAATTAAATAATATTTTATAAATTAAGTGTAACTTTTTATAACTGCTAAGGTTGGTAAGATAATACTAACTATATTAAAGAAAATGGAGGGAGAAAAAACCGTGTGGGTCACATGTATGAAGAAACATTTGAAACCTTTTTTCTTTCTTACCGAAATGATGTTCCAACGACTTGTTGGAGAAGAGTCCAAACTAAATTGATTTGAGTTTAACATAGGATTTCACAGGGTTAGCTGTTACCCCTTTTTGTAATTTTTAAATAGTTACTTTTGCTATCCTCTTTTCTTTGTCTTTGAATTTTCAATGTCTATTTATTCGTAAAAAAAAAAAAGCGATATGATTTTTGTAAAAAAGAAGCTGTATCATATTAATCAAATCAATCTTGAGTTTTTATGTATATAATTTATATCATTATTTAAATTTTTAATTGAATTAATGTTATGAATAAACTGACATCAATTTAATTAAGAACAGTTACTAAAAAATTAATAAAATTATTATAAAAAATATAGAAGTATGAATACATATATTTCTTTTTCAATAACTACCCCAATGTGGGTTTGTCCAATTAGAGTATTAGTTTATTTGGCTTGTGATTTGAGGGAAATAGCAAGCACATTCAAAGACCTCATGATTTGACTGAGAATGTAATTTGCAATGATTGTAAAACAAACCATGCTGGCAACTTGTTTGATACAACTAATCATGGTCCGTTTTTGGGTCATACCATTTACTTTTGCTAATTTTGACCAAACACAAATTGCTTTATACTGTCTTTGGGTCATACCTTTTACAGTTTTGTACATGAACATGATAAGATTTTAATTTGTAAACACCTCAGCAGTTTGCATGCATGATTTTTAAAATCGATAATTTTATATACGAGATAATAATATAATAAAAAATATATGAAAAAAATAAAAACAATGTGATTTAAAATTGATTAAAAAATATATAAATTTGATAAAAATAAAAATATTTTATATTGAATATATCAATGAATTATAATAATATAATTTTAATACTATATATATATATATTTGATACGAATATATAAATTACCGACCCAATGATAAAAATGTTTTAAATTTTCTTTTTTTCTTTCTTAGTTGGGCTTTAAAATGGGCTTCAAGGGCTTTCGTCTGTTGTATATTGGGCCCAAAACATTGTTTTTAGTTGGCCTCCGGGTTTTTGAATGGGTTAATTTGTACCCAAAAGGGATTGGTCAATAGTTAGTGCCCAAACTTTAATAGCCATTCCATAATCCATTAATGCCAAGTAGTGGGCCGCAGCCTAAAGCTAAAATTAGAAAATTAATTGTTTTAAGTCAAGATTTTTTTTTTTTAATTCCAATTTTATTTCTCTCAATTTTTTTTTTCTTTAAATTCGATTGAAAGCGGAAATACAAAATCCCAAATAATAAAGAAAACCTTTTTCTTGTCGAACAAGATAAAAAGAATGAAAGACTATAAATAGCGATCGAAGCCTTTTCCCAACGCTCACTTAATTATTCGTTTTTTATTACTCTTTCTCTTTTGCTCTCTCGTTTTCGCTTTACGAAACATGAGTCACCCAGCTGAATCGTCCGACTCGTGAGTCAATTTACTTCTTCCGATTTTCTTTTCCTTTTTTTCTCTACGATTTTCTATCTTCAATTTTGTTGGGTTTAATCTTAAATTTTGCTTCTTTGATTCAGGAAATCGGAGAGGAAAGACTACTCGACGGCGATTCTGGAGAGGAAAAAGTCGCCGAATCGGTTGGTTGTTGACGAGGCGGTCAACGATGACAACTCCGTCGTTTGTTTGAACCCCGACACCATGGAGAAGTTGCAGCTCTTCCGTGGTGACACTATTCTCATCAAGGTAATTAAATTAATTAATTAATTAGTAAAAAACCTATTTTAATATATTTTTAATTATTAGGGTTTAGTTTTGGCGATTTCTCTTGGGTTTCGTTAGGGGTTCGTTTATTTTTAAATTAATTTTGGGTCTTCAAGACTGTGTTTTGTTGCTTTAGAACCTTAATTCTAACGCGATAAGAGTTAGGTTTTATGGTTACCGAAGGCTTAATTTCAGGATTAGATGAAAATTTTTGTTAATTAGAAAGCTGAATTTTGAAGTTTTAGGGTTTTCCCCTGTTTTAAGGTTTAATGCTGTTGTTCTTATTTGAGGATTTTGTTGGTGTAGGGAAAGAAGCGAAAGGATACAATCTGCATCGCTCTTGCTGATGATCAATGTGAGCCGTCGAAGATTAGAATGAACAAAGTTGTCAGGTCGAATCTGCGGGTTCGGCTTGGAGATGTTGTGTCTGTGCACCAATGCCCTGATGTGAAGTATGGGAAGCGTGTTCACATTCTTCCCATTGATGATACCATCGAAGGTGTTACTGGGAATTTGTTTGACGCTTACTTGAAGCGTAAGTTTTTAATCTATCTACTGTCAATATAACTGTTGTCTAGTTCTGACTGTGTACTTATCTATTACTGTTTTGTTGGTTTATCTTTCTTTGTTATTTTATTGTTCTTTGTCTTGTTTTGTTGGATTGTTTTTTATGTTTGTTTGTTGTTTGCAGCTTATTTCTTGGAGGCTTATCGTCCCGTGAAGAAAGGAGATCTATTCCTTGTTCGAGGAGGGATGAGGAGTGTGGAGTTCAAGGTCATTGAGACTGACCCGCCAGAGTATTGTGTAGTTGCCCCAGACACTGAAATTTTTTGTGAGGGGGAACCTGTTAGAAGGGAAGATGAGGATAGGTTGGATGAAGTTGGTTATGATGATGTAGGTGGTGTTAGGAAGCAGATGGCTAGATTCGTGAGTTGGTGGAATTGCACTAAGGCATCTCACTTTTCAATCAATTGGTGTTAAACCACCCAAAGGAATTCTGCTTTATGGACCACCGGGTTCTGGTAAGACATTAATAGCCAGAGCTGTTGCTAATGAAACTGGAGCTTTCTTCTTCTGTATTAATGGACCAGAGATTATGTCCAAATTGGCTGGAGAGAGTGAAAGCAACCTTAGGAAGGCTTTTGAAGAAGCTGAGAAGAATGCTCCATCTATCATCTTTATTGATGAGATTGATTCAATTGCTCCTAAGCGTGAGAAGACCCATGGTGAAGTTGAGAGAAGAATCGTTTCACAGCTGTTGACTCTCATGGATGGACTGAAATCAAGGGCTCATGTGATTGTTATCGGGGCTACTAATCGTCCAAATAGCATTGATCCTGCTTTGAGAAGATTTGGCAGGTTTGATAGGGAGATAGACATTGGTGTTCCAGATGAAGTTGGTCGTCTTGAAGTCCTTCGCATCCATACCAAGAACATGAAGCTTTCTGATGAAGTGAGATTGAAATCTGCATTATTTAGTTATTTATGTTTTGGTATTTCTATATTTAGCAAATAAAATTATTAGATCATGATTATATTTGGATGCATGGAATGGATTTAACTACTTAAGCCGCTAACCCTAATGATGCACTGAGATTGGTTGTATTTTGGTCCTCAAATTAGCTTATTTTCTGTGCTAGAGTTTCTCCATGACTTGTTCTCTTTTGTGTTCCTTGTTGGTTACTTTTCTATCTTTTTTCAGGTTGATTTAGAAAGGATTGCAAAAGACACTCATGGTTATGTTGGTGCTGACCTTGCTGCTTTATGCACTGAAGCTGCTCTGCAGTGCATCAGAGAGAAGATGGATGTCATTGACTTGGAGGATGACGCTATTGATGCTGAGATACTTAATTCAATGGCAGTTACAAACGAGCACTTCCAAACTGCCCTTGGAACTAGCAATCCCTCTGCACTGCGTGAAACAGTAAGTGATAATTTCCTTTGAATTTTCATCGTGATGTGCATGTATGATCAATTTGTATCTCAAGATCAATGAATTTTTCTCAATTGTCTAAATTGCTCATTTTTTTTGTTCATCCAGGTGGTTGAAGTGCCTAATGTCAGCTGGGAGGATATTGGAGGCCTTGAGAATGTTAAGCGAGAACTTCAAGAGGTGATTGTCATTGCTTGATCAGTTTATAGGCTTAACTCCTTTTCAAGCTTGTTGCTAAAACTTCTATTTTTGTGTTTCTGTTTGGTTGTTAAGACTGTGCAATATCCTGTGGAGCACCCAGAGAAGTTTGAGAAATTTGGCATGTCACCTTCAAAGGGGGTCCTCTTTTATGGTCCTCCTGGATGTGGCAAAACTCTCCTTGCTAAGGCTATTGCAAATGAGTGCCAAGCTAACTTCATCAGTGTCAAAGGCCCTGAACTGCTCACCATGTGGTTTGGTGAGAGTGAAGCCAATGTTAGAGAAATATTTGACAAGGCTCGACAGTCTGCACCTTGTGTCCTTTTCTTTGATGAGCTTGATTCCATTGCTACACAGGTTTATTTTTGCTCCATAAATTGTTTTAAATTTCGATACATGCATATGTTTTGGTCTTCCATTAAAATTTGAATACTGAATAGTTATTTTTACTCATTTGATGATATTATTTAATTGTTACAGAGAGGGAGCAGTGTTGGGGATGCAGGAGGTGCTGCTGATAGGGTTCTAAACCAACTTCTAACTGAAATGGATGGCATGTCAGCTAAAAAGACTGTTTTTATCATTGGGGCCACTAACAGGCCTGACATTATTGACCCGGCACTTTTGCGGCCTGGGCGGCTTGATCAGTTAATTTATATTCCTCTTCCAGATGAGGAATCCCGTCACCAGATCTTCAAGGCCTGTTTGAGAAAATCACCCATCTCTAAAGATGTTGATTTGAGAGCACTAGCTAGGTATACCCAAGGTTTTAGTGGGGCTGATATTACTGAGATTTGCCAGCGAGCATGCAAGTATGCCATCAGAGAGAACATTGAGAAGGTATGCTTCTGCTGCCTTTACCATCAAGTACTTTATAAGTGGTTATAGTCTTTTAGAAAGTTAAAACTGTATTTTGTTTTTCATGTTTTAAAATTTATGATTGAGGTGCTCATAACTGGCTCCTTTCCTGTTATTCATTATCTCTTTTAAGCTGATACTGTTGGGTTGCCTTTCACATGGTTATATGCTCTGATTGTAGTCTTGTTGTATTCTTTAAAATTCAATTACTTCCACTTAATGATATCTTCAATTTATTCATCTGTGACCTATCATGCTTTGAATGCTTTGCTTGCTGAACAGAGGCAATATTGGTATCTATCTTGTGTTGATAACTTCATCATAATTAAGCATTAAATTAAACTGGAACCATTTGCAGGACATAGAAAGGGAAAGAAGAAGAAGAGAGAATCCAGAGGCAATGGATGAGGATGCTGAGGATGAAGTTGCAGAGATTAAGGCTGCACATTTTGAGGAGTCCATGAAGTTTGCTCGAAGGAGTGTTAGTGATGCTGATATTCGCAAATACCAGGCATTTGCTCAGACCTTGCAGCAGTCCAGGGGTTTCGGATCTGAATTTAGGTTTTCACAGATTGGGACCACCACTGCTGCTGCATCTGATCCATTTTCAACTTCTGCTGCTGCTGGTGCTGACGAAGATGATTTGTATAGTTAGGTTAAGTTTGGTAGGTTTAGCAACGACTTTTGTCTTTTATGGTTATTGCATTTATCTTGGATTTAGCACATTAATCCAGAATGTTGTTCTATTTACTAGAATGCTTTATTGTTTTATGTTTTAAGTTGATTGCCAAATATTTGTCAAATTGCAAATAGCTAGTAGCTACTAAACTTGATTACTGTGGAAAATTGTAGTAGCTAGGAAGCTCTTGGTATGAAAATTTGGGTCTGTTAGACCAATTCAAATTCACGATTCTATTTGGCGCCATCATCTCCCAGTTTGCCCATTAAATTGCTATCGGCTTGTAGGCCCTACTACATTGCTTAGTTTCACATGCTTTTTGAGGAACCCTGGTGCCTGGAGCCTGGTGTGACGCATGACCTCAATACTGTGGGTTTCTTTCCAATTGGCCATGCTCATATGTTGCTCCCTGCATGTTAGTTTCTTAATTAATACCTAATACATAGGCATATCCTGCGAGCTAGGACCTTATTTTCATTCTTGGTGGAGTGATTGTTTGCATAAGCAATTCTCTGAAATCTCAGGGTCAGTGATTGACAATTTTGATAGTGTTAATTAAGAAGAAAATTGCCTCCTCCTTGTACATGTAAGCTCATTCCAAATTATACTTAAGAATAAACTGATACAATCCAAAACGTGATGGCAAACATACATTCAAGGTCAAGGACATAGCCTTATATACCCGCAAAAAGGAAGGAAAAAAAAAAACATATAGTCAAAGCTCTTATTATACATACATCACCTCTCTTATTTCTCTCAAATTCGACAAAAAGTATCGTATCCTCAAGGTTTTTTGGAGTGTGCTTTAGTAGCACAAGCAGAACCAAGAGTTTGATAGTTAACATATCGACTTGGAGCTGATGAATGCTTAGACCCTTTTGGCATACAACCCTTAACTTCCTTCTCATGGAAAACCTCCTGTTTATTATGATTCAGTACTTGAGGATTCATCTTCACATAATCCACGGATGCAGGCCTCATTGTGCTAGGAACGCTTGATGGGATATCACGACCGCCCATAGCAACGTCCGGAGAAGAAGAAAACATCAAGAGGAGATAGATGAAAATTATGCAAAATATTGTGGCAGACATGTTGGAAAGTGATCGTACTGTTTCTTCTATTCTTCTTTTGTGTTTTTTTTTTCCCGTAATAGTTTGGTTTCCTCGTGAGTTGGAGAGGTTTTTGAAAGGGTTTTATTATGGGAGAGGGTTTTTAAAGGGAGTGGCTAAGGAAAGTATCGAATGGGGGGTCTTAAATAGGCTCGTGAGTAGCTGAAAATAAAGAAGATAATCAAGATATGAGTCGTAAGTCATTGCTATAGCGTTGCATTAGTTTTGAAGAGTGAGGTGATGTTAAGTTGGTGAGGTGGGTGCCCTTTCTTTTTCTTTTTCTTTTTTTTTTTTTTTTTGTAAACTGTGGAAGGTATTGAGATGCCCGTGAGCTTCTTTTATTACACAATCAAAACCAATATCTGTTGCTTCAAAAGCCCGAAATCTAGACAGTTTCCTTTCCTCAAAATTTGAGTCTCCATAGGGACCGCTTTCTTGGAATAGTAAAAGATATGCGAAAACCCCTTAAATTCTCTGTAGTAAATTAGGATTGGTTTTTCATCATAGTGGAAGAATTAGATTGCAAGGAAGAAATTACGTATATATAGAATGTGTTTATTCTTATTTGAGACTACAATTAAGCATTAATGGCATTTACTTTGGTCGGTTAGACAGACACTATAGGTTCATTGCATGCACGATGCAAAATACAATTACTAGTATCCCTCCATAACCAAGCTTCCATTTAAGAAACAATAATAATATTTCAGAAATAGGCCAATGCTTTTGTTGGGTCGAGATTTTCTTATTGAGGGCTGCTTTTGAAATTAAAAAAGCGGAGAGAGGCAATGTAGTTGATCTTTAACTCGCCATTAATATGGAAGATAAACTTCAAGCATAACATAAGCTTGATATACTGTACTGTTACTTTCTCAAGTCATCTAAAGTTTCTAAACACACATTTAGGGAAAGTTTAAAATCTTACAAGATCTTTCTAAAGTCAACTTTAATCTCCTTATGCTCTGCCAACATGGATACATTGATTATATAGGCCACTCGTCGAATGTAGTTCATAGCTGGTGAATCCAAGCTAACCTACACAAAGGTTATACTTCAAAGTTTTCGAGATGATAATCTCACCTATTGCCTTTCATTTTCATCACAATATAAATATATATATATATTTGTTTATTTATTTATACTTGAGGCTGCCATGATTTAAAACTTGATCAATAAAATTAAGAGTCAAATACTCTACCAACAAATCATGCGGCTGTTGACAGCAATACTTTCTTTTCATGTTCACTTGCATATATAATTTGCCTATTAATACAGAAAAATATTGAAGTATCCGACCAGTTATATCCTTGTTTGATTCAGCGCAGCAAGAACACAATCTGTTTGGTACAAAACTTGGTAATAAATTGAGGGATGGTTGGCATTAGGTGAGAGAAGGTGCACTGTTAAATGAAAGTAGAGAAGAGGTTTTAATTTCAAAATTTAAGCCATTTATGTTTGGAGATGTTAGACGTTTATTAATCTTGTGGAGTAATTCTCAGCCAGTCCTGTAATTTTCCACAGTGCAAATTGGAGACTAGTTTCACGTTTTGTCTATGCATCTTTAAGCTTCGTGCCAACATACATTGAATAGCCGTCCAGAATTTGTGGCCCTTCAAATAAATGCTCATCAAGATTTGAACTGGTAGGAGAAAATAAAAACTATATGCAGTACAAACTTATTAGTTATTGCTATCATTGTTTAGAAACTGAAACCAAAAATCAAGAACCTTTATCAGACAGCAAGCAAATTTGCTGTACTTTTCTTGCCTGGAATTATATTAAAAAAAGGGTTTTGCTTATATCTTTAGCAAAGTTAACAGTGCTGTAATTAACAAAAGATTAATGTTATTAACAGAAACTTTAAGAATAAGGTTAATTTTATCCTTTTCTTGCCTGGAATTATGCAAAAAGGGTTTTGTTAATACTGCCTAGTAGTTGATTACTGCTATTGATGGTACTTGTGAAACTCTCAAAAATTGATGGCAAAATTTAGGTGCTTTCAACAATTGATGGCACTTGTGAAATTATATTGTTCATCGGGGGCTAACGTGAAATTTTGTCCGACAGCAAAGATAAGAGACATGAGACTAGAAAAAACAGTATTGCATTAACTAAGAAAGACTCTTTACGAATGGAGCTCTCAGTTCGCTCTTTAACGTTTGCATCCTACTCCAAGAGTAAGTCTCAACAAACTAAAAAATTCTCATTTATTTGATTTACACAGAATTTTTTATAGACAGTTTTATTTGTTTTTCTTTTATCTCTCTTTATTATGAACATAACCACACAAGCTTTATGAAACTAACCGGAAGTAGTTCTAGTTGTTGTAGATCCCTGTAATGAAAATTACCGGTTAAAGATTAGGCCAGGGTCTTTACCAGGTGGTTGTTTTATCTGAATATATGAGTTTTTAAGGGCCAGCTGCAGGTGGGTTACTCGTATTCTTTTAATGAAAACTTGATTGGCCATTCATTGCTTGCACTTGTTTTTTCAAGGTGATGATAGTTGTGGTTGTGGGTGGTGAAGGGAACCATAACAATAGGGAGGCACTAGAGTTAATGTTAGTTGGAGGTTATTGTTTTAATGAGAGTTCTTCTATTGGATGGGTGGATTGAATGCTTTGGTTTGAATCTTTCTGAAAATGCATTTTTTGGGTCCTTAGGTGGTTTAGAATTTTATATATGTGGTTAATTGCTACTAAGGCTTTAGGTCTTCTGAATTTTAGAAGTTGAAGTTCTTGCCCGGCTTGGTTTCATTACTGATAATGATTATAGATAGGTGATTGTTGATGCCATTACTATCAGCATCATTTATGACTTGAAAGAGAAAAGCCTCGTGTTTGTAAATCTGATTATCAGTATCATAAACACTGAATTAATTGTCATTTTATCTTTCTGCTGGAAAATTTGAAGTGCTTAAATGCTTTGAGTAAGCCGGAAACAACTGTTATTTCCACTGCGAATTGGGCTTTGGTTTCCTGTCTGCTCTGTTCTTTAAATTGGATTTATGATTTGATTATAAAGCTTCCATAATCTTTAGCAAGCAGACTTATTGTTAAAGACAATATATGGATCCAAGTAACATTCTGCATTATTTTCATTTCATATTGTCTCACACAAGGCAGTTTGCCTGTGTTGTTGGAGAGTTATACCGGATGATGATTTTGATTGTTAGATGAAATTTGTGGCAAAAATTGTCAGTTTGCTTAAGCCCTGCGAGCTATGCTGGTTTGGTTTATAAACATTTGACTATTATAAAATAAAAAGCCTTTAGGCCAATTACTTCAAAAGTCACATAAACTCTGATCCTTAAGCAATTTAAAGATGATTCTACAGTCTTGTTAAGTTGGAGGATGCTTGATTTTTCTGATATTTCTTTTTGATGTTGTGAAGCATTTGGAGATCCCTGGCCAAAATTCCAGAGTGTGCTAGACCACAGAGTCTGTTCTTTGATTGGTGAGAAATCAAAAGAACATAGAATAAAATTATCCATTGTATCTTCTGCTCTGCCAGAAACAATTGCTTCAGTGGCCATTAGTGCAACAGTTGTGGGTGCAGCAGCAACATTTCTTGTTAGGAGAACTAAAGCTTCTGATGCAACTGAGGTGTTTAATTCTTTATTTTCCTCCCTTAATTTCTAGAAATGTTCATTTCATAAATTTTTAAACAGCTAGAATGTTCCTCAACTCCCCTTCTGCTTCTTCAAGTGCATTTTAGTCCGAAAGATGAAAAGAATACATTTTAATTTCTTAAGATAGTTCTTGGATATTCTACAAGTATATATTTGAGATTGGAGAGTTTTTAGGTGTTTTCCAGAAAGATTTCAGGTATAGGAGTTAGATTTTGATAAATTAGGCACCCTTGGCTTTGGGCTCAGAACTTCTGATATGTCTTGTTATCTGCAGTGACATCCATCCCTCCACCTCCATAGGCCACAATACCATTCTACCAAACTCACGTCATACTCAGTTTATTTCCATTACACACTAAATTGCCTCAATACAATTCCCCTCCAAGGCCATCAACCTAACTGCATTTTTTTCCCTTTCAAATTGAAGGTTCCATTGAGACCATGTGAAGATTGTGGGGGTTCTGGGATATGTTCAGAGTGTAAAGGTGAAGGATTTGTGTTGAAGAAAATGTCAGAGGACAGTGCTGAAAGGGCAAGAATGACAGCAAAGAATATGGCCACTCGATACACAGCTGGGTATATTTCCTAATGAATGCACCATATTCATGCTTTCTTCCCCTACCATTCGTTACCTATGTCTATATATGTAGGCCCTCCTTGACGTTCTGTTGAGCATTTGAGCTTAATCATTTCAGACTTCCCAAGAAATGGAGCTACTGCACAAAGTGTTCTTCTGCTCGATCTTGTACTACTTGTGGAGGCAGTGGAAAGTTAAGCTACTAGTTTTGCTCTAACCATTTTGATGCTTCAAACAATGTTGTTCTTTTCACCCAAAATTTTGCTGCCCCATGGAAGAATAGGATCAATATTCGCCTAAGAATAGAAGTGAGTTGACTCTCTTCTATGTCTTTAAATTGATGAATGATGAAAATAATTTTTTTCTCTTTCAGAGAGCATATAAATGCCTTGTTTCATGCACCTAAAGTAATTAAGTGAAACTTTTTGTTCTTATAAATATAATTTTCTGTTCCATCTCACACTATATATACAATTTATGTGTACTATGCTATTTGCAGCATACCTAGCTTTTAAAAATGAAAATAGATCGATCAAACTGGTGGTATCAGCTTTATGCAAGACTCTAGATTAAGAATGAAATGCGAGAGAGACATTTTTGTCAAAAAAATGAGTTGAGAGAGAAAAATTCGAAGTTTGTTGGGCTTGAGAATCTGCTGACTTGCTCATTAAATTTGTATGTCACTTCCATATGAAAAATTTAGATGCATGTTCAGGCCAATGAAAGTTTGTAAACGCTTTTCAGATTTACGAGGTTTCTAAACAGAATTTGAAGCACTAGTGATTGCTGAATGAGAAAATATATAGTTACAGAAAGAGAGATATGTGAGCTTCACCCTCACTCTGATATGTTTATATCCATTGAATTTGAATATGTATCTAGCTACTTCTGTAAAACTTATCAGAGAAAATTTTGAATTTTTGAATATGTATCTAGCTACTTCTGTAAAATTTGAATATGCTTGAGTCCCAAGAGAAAAAAGGATCATTGCTAAGACAGCAATTGGAAGTGAATCAGCCTGGCCAAGCCATATACAGAACACACCTCCTAGAGTTTGAAAGAACCAAAGGATCCATAGCCTGCCTCTCATGCCAAACAATCGTGCTGCTATATCAGAGTCATAACTGTCCAAGGGACGAGCAAAGAAGTTGGCCTTGCCAAAGCTAGCAGCTATAGTCCCAGCAGTGTGGAGTTCAAGATCAAATCTGTTGCACATACAAAAATTCATATTGTTATCGTTGTTTCGTCATTTGTGACAAAAAGGGACAGAAGATATGGTCGGGATAGTAGCTCTCATAAAAATATTCTGAGATGACATTGTTAATAGTCAATTCAATGCCCATAGAAAACCCATAAAGGAGGAAAAAGATCCATGTTCTGTAGTTTGTGATGGCGTATCCAAAAACCTGAACAAGATAAGCAAATCAGCACTAAATTTTATTGGATCATACTGATAGCAAGCTCAAGTTAAAAGAAAGAGAGGTGTTCCAAAAACTTTACCTTGGAGAGCTTATCTTTCGTAATTTCACCCTTCTTCTGTAAGGGACTTAGGTTTCCATCAGGCAAGTCTGGGCCAAGAGTTAGAAGATACCCATAATGACATGGAGCCACCCAGGAATGAAAGAAGCAATCCTCCAGGCAGTGAAGGGAGTTGCACTGGCTAGCCTGATTAAATGATAAGCTAAGGGCATCAAGAGTTGAGTGACTTCACCGCCCATGTCACCCCATTCACCTGTACATCCATTGACAAGCCCTATAATCCTGCCATTGAACATTCTTGTTGTCCAATACTGACATGACACAAATGTTGCGAGGCAAAATACAATCATGAACTGGACCGCTAAGTAGCCTTAGCATCTGAAACAAAAGACATTCAGAATACAGTAGAGGCTGATAGCATTAGAAGAAATGCAGTCCCATATCTTGCACCAATCAGTCACAAACTGCACCCGTCACTAGCCTGGACAATATGCTTCCAGAGACAGAAGCAACCCCAGCATTGCCAATATTTACTTGTTTTAAATCAAGATTATCACGAATGATGGGAACAAGGGGTACTGCAGCAAAAATAGAGATAAAAGAGGTGAAAAAGGAGATCCAAGCTAGATGAAACGTTCTCATGTGAGGCAGAGCAAATTTTGCCATGGTATGATCAGTTGGGATGCTAGATGATGCAACTGAGAAGGCAAAGGTTTGTTCTCCACCCGTTTCTCCATGCATGGAAGTCCTATAGAACCTTCATTTTCAGCCATTTTTCTTTGTTTTAAAAGAAGTCCGTTCTACAAAAGTATGAAAAGAAAATAAGAAAGTCTCTTGATATTGCTTGGATTGAGTGTACTGGGGTGGTATGATCTTCATAACTGAACTAGCCAATGAACTTGCACATTATAAATTCTTAGAAATTCAGACTCTTAATGTAACTATAGTAGTTGTGCACATAATAAGGATTACATACGGTTACATGATTATGGTAATTCCAATTTATAGGGATTATGATAAGGAAATATGATTCATTTGATTCTCTCCTAGCTTACAGAGAATCTCTTGTATTTTAAATCACTTTCTGGTACAAACAATTTATAATAATTACTTTAACACCAATTTTAAAACAATTTGAATAAAAAACTGATGATATACATCATTGATTTTTTTCTGAAAAAAATGTAAAAAATGCTTGTAATGTAAATGTTCTTTTAACTCATTAGGTATTAGAGGAGCATTATGGCCAATCATCCAAGTTTTACCTTGAAGTAATTGGTGGTTGGTAAATAAAATTAATGGTTTTAATTTCTTATTCAATAGTCTACTTTGAAATCAATTTGCAAATGGCAGACTTGAGTAACAATCAGCTTGAAAGCGACCCATGCATATGAATAGTCAAGTAACCGAAAGTTATGACCCTAAAAAATTTCTAGCTGTTGAAAAGAGTAAACAGACAAAAAAAAGAAGAGAACCAAATGGACCATGAAAATGGTTGATTTAAGTCACTTCACTTGAGGACAATAGATCCTTAGATCATCTTTTAATAAAAGAAGTAAAATTTTCTTCAGACAATTTCTAATTCTTTTTAAAGGTCGATGAGTTTTTTTAGTCAGGAGCTTGTGTTTGGCCTGCCACGAGCTTGGATTCAATCCTAAGGATGACTGGAATATCGTCCCTTAACCAAGGCAATCGACCATAGCCATATAAAAGAAAAAGAATCAGAGTTTAGATAGTACTGATCAAACATATCACAAAGCTATCTGATGGCAGACATACCTATCAAAATGAACCAATCCATTAATTCAATGCCCACAACTACAATAGCTTTAAGTTTGGAACCATACCTTGGCACCAAACAAGCTCACAACCCTCATAACATAACTAATATTTTAAGTCAAATGTTAATTTTCGGGTTCAATGTACAACCCCTAGGTCATTAACTGCTGTGAAACCAATAAATATTCTTTCTGCTAATTCTGCATTTGAGTCTATTGCAACTAATTCCGTCACAAGGGCAAATCAACCTACCCAACGTGAAGCTCTATTCTCTATTCATATGTTGAGTACTGGTACTCCCACTTCTTGGAACTGGTTTGTACAGCACAACTGTAACGTACTTCGAACGGAAGCGCTGAGTGAACCCAAGTGCAACTACAGATCTTGGCGCCTCTCGGTTTTCAATATAAAGATGATTTAGAATCACATTTTCTGGCAAAGGAAGATTCCCAGAAACATTCATGCTTGCAGGGTAGCTAAACAAGGTTTGATGCAGGTGTGGAGGTACAACTGGTGGGTCACGTGCATCATCTTCACTCCCAGGGAACGCATTATTATAACTTGAATCAGGTGATCTTGGCACTTCAAACCCCATGACAGTTGCTTCATCCTGAACAAAAAGACTACAAGTTTAAACTCTGTAAATTTTTAGTAGTCCAAATAATCACCAAGATTGCATGACTTACTTGATCTTCACCACCTTGTTTGTTCATACTGAGCAGTGACACTACAGGACACAAGTAAGCCGGAAATAAAGCAATTATTTCTACTGTAAGCCTTTCAAAGTTTAACAAAGCAACATGTAAACTTAACAACTAAAGAAAAACCCAAATACTTGTGACGTTGCAAAGAAAAACAACCATGAAAAAAGAATTCAAGAAGGCTCCATTGAAGCTAGAGTGATGAATACTAGGACATTATAGTCTAGGGAAAGTTTGCTAGAGGTCAAGAATATATAAGATGAGGCTTTAAGCTCATCAGCTGTTTTGAATTGCGTTCTGGAAGACTTGAAAACGAATTCTGCCTCCAACAGAAGGGCCTTCCTTGCTATCATAAGCAAAAGCCATTCAACTTAAGCATCAAGAATGATCAAAGTATCTTAAGTTGTCTAAGAAATACAAAGTAGAATCATTTAGAGAGTATGAGTAAAACATCTTTTCCCTACCCACAGGTAGCATCTACACAGATGAATCCTCTTATTTAGTGAAATGTATATGTAACTGACATTCAGATGTATTTTACAGGGTCACCTGTGAACTAAAATGCCTTCTTATTTAGTAAGATTTTTTACACAAGCAATAAATTTTGGGCTTATGTAAAAACATTGGAAAACAAAATGTTGTTTCTGATGGAAAAGCTCTTTGATAAATTAAAGGATTCAAATAAATCCTCGTTTATTTCTATGCAACTGGAGAGATATTTGGCATTAAGCGAGAACCATATCCACATTGACATACTTTGGATGGTAAAATAATACGACTGTCTTACGAATTCTTTTATCACAAACGACTGTTGAGCCTATTGCATCAACAACCAAAACCCCAAAGGGACATGTAAAGGTCTGTTCATATAATCTATTAAAATAGTCCTATTCAATTCATAGCACGATGGGCAACAAAATTCCCACAATTCTGTGAAGCATCAATTCTAAGGAACTCATATAAGCGCTCTCACAGACTCACTCTTACAGCATTCTCTAACCAAATACCCCTGCTACTCTAGAATTCACTACAATATCCAATCTTTGTAACAAGAGTAACCATAACATTGAAAACGCAAGTATCTTCAAAGCCTACAATGCAAAGCTTCTTATAATCCACATATCTTACTCGAACCCAAAGAATTCAGCTCAAGAAACAGACCCAAAGCTAAAATTCCACAGAATACTAAAAAAAAAAAAAAGAAACAAAATTCTTCATAGAAAATACAAGCCAACTCTAAGAGAAATATTAAAGCCAGGGAAATTAATTTTTTAAATAATAATAGAAAAGAGACTGACCCGATTTGATTGTGGCCCAATCGCCTTCAATCACCAAAACCCCAACTTTTCAATACCACGTCTCCCCTTAAAAAACCAAACTTTGCAGTAAAATAATTGAATGATTTCTCACTGTCACCAAGCTTACCTGCAAAACTAAAGCAAACCCACATTAAATCAAATCCAAGACATTAAAAACTTAGCAAAACAAAAAAAAAAAAACCCAATAATTCAAACCCCTAGAATTCACTGAAAATCTATAAAGTTCAGCTAAAAAAAAAAAGAACCCAAGATGGAATTTCTAGAAATATGAAATACAAAGCAACCAAGTTGTGAAAAAAGAGAAAAAAAAATTAGATAGAAAAGAGTGTAGGTTACCCTGGGAAGAAGAGAAAATTTTCAGAAGAAAAATAAATGGAAAAAAAGCAATTGTTGGAGAAGAACCCAAAAATAAGAGAGTAGCTAGTGGTAGGGGAATCCGCCACGAGAATCTGCTATGAATATTGTTTTATTAAAAGCATCAATGATAACAAAGTATTTAAATAAATAAATAAAAATAAGAAGAAGTGATGAGAAACAAACATAATAACAACAAAATTTTCCTTTTTCTCATCGTCTGGGGGTTTTTGGACATTGAACTGGGAATAGAATGAGGTGCCCAAATTACACCATCTAGTTCTAGATCATCCAGATTTGGACTTAGAGCCCAATCGCGTTTCTCAAATTAATTCAAGCCCAAATTTCCTATTTCATCTTTTAGGCACAACCCTCCTGTGTTAGCCCAGCTTCCACTACTGTTAGGCCAAGTAATGGAGCTAGTCTAGATTCTATGTCCATGGACCTCACCACCCTCCTTTGCCCCGAGTAATTAGTACAGTCCCCCATTACCCAAAGACATTTTCGAGGCAACTTTCTGATTATCACACTTTTATTTTGTCTCTTATTCTGTCCCTCTGAACAACAAAATTTTGCTTCTATCAATGTGTTTCAAATAATTTAGAGCCATTTTTATAGTCCAAAATCAGATGATTATGAAAATGTTTTGATTCACATTTCAAAGCTAAACCCTCAAAAAGTGAACTAATGTTGTGGGATGAAACAAATTAAGGTTAATTATTTTAATGAAGCCGGCATTAAAAATTGCTTTGGTTTTCTCGGTTGTGAGGTTACAAGATGAAGGGTTTAATATATATATTTTTTATGCTTTTAAAAAAATTCAACTAGTTAGTGCATCCAAATAATTAATCCAAGAAAAAAAATGACATGCATGATTTAGAAAATTCGGATTGTCATATATATATGGTCGGTGACCTTTCAAAACAAAGATTAGCCATCAGACAAAGAAAACAGCACTGTCAATCCTTGAACAAGGATATACATGCAGAATCAAAGAAATTTGCTTAAGATCCCCATGTCATGTGAATTAGTATTCTAAGTTTAGTACTTATTCTTCAAGGGATGTATGATTAAAATAATGTTCTTTTCGTTTGCTTAATTGCAAAAAATTATGTGAAACAGAAGTTATAGATAGCAAGTGGAGGAGACCATGGGTGGCCAATTTGTAGAATTCCCAAGAAAAATAATTATGTCTTCCATCATTACATGATGAAGCAGTTGCAGAGATCAGATCGATAGTGTCGCTACTCGATTGTTCAAATTTTCGTATCTTATAGAATTATTTTTGGTATCTTCCTGTACAATTAAAAGTCCCGAACTTTTTTTTTAATAAAAAATTCGAAGGGTTGTGTCCACAAAAGCACAAACTCATAAGGAGGAGAAGAAGAAGAGGATGATGAAATGGCTTGGCTTCCAATGCCATGCTGATGCATAGCTTCAAAGCTGCAAGCTGAAGTACCTCCTGCTGCTGACATCAAACATGGCCTTTTTTCACACTTAAAAAGGATACCAATAATCCACGTAAATCCACTACACTTACTACATGTGTTCAATAAAAATTAGAATAACACCATAACAAATAATATATAAAATAATTTTAATTTTTTCATTAAGAACAATCATGCAATTTTTTTTAAACTATCAAAGAAATTAAATCTATTTTTTCAAATAAAAATATATAAATTTATCGTTCAAATTAAATATTTAAGTGCGCAATTTATTGAATTTAAATCATTGATGCATGATAAAGAATATATAAACTCTTTATACAATATGCCCTTGCTTCAATCTTATGTATGAAAATAAATTCTTCAAAACTTTACCTTATAAGACTTTAATAAGATAGCATTCTTGTTCAAACAGGCTACGCAAACAAAAATAAAGCAATAAGACAATGAAATTTGTTAGCAGATGTGTTTTATATTGTACTGGGGCTTGTTTTAGGAACATCGATACTCAATTCTCAATGGCTTGAAAATTAAAGCAGCCGAATTTCAAAGGACTAATTTATTCTTATCATCTTATTTGGACTGCCTGGTAACCTTACATCGTCCACCGATGTCCCATTTCAGTCTGATGATATTTCCCAATCTCCCACCATTCCTTGAATGGACAAAATATTTAAGAATTACGAATGGTACATTGCCTTCTGCCTTTAAACTGATTTCCAGGGCGAATACATTTGATAGATTGTAACGAACATGCTCCATTATTTCCGAAGCTATTATCTCGCCTCTCCTGTTTGGAAGTCTACAATGAACAGCTAGCTATCTCCAAGAAATTATCTTGTGCCCTTGAAACCCTTTTTGGGGCTTTTTATGATCATCATGCATTCCAAGTTGCTGTTTCAAAAAAGGTTGTCTGAACTTGAAACAGATGATCTGTCAGAATAAACGGCAGCAAGAGCAAAAACCACCCACTGGATATAGAGGGGCTGATTGCCTGAACTGCAACGAAATGGTCAGAATCTAGCTAAGGGGCCAAGCATTTACAATAGATCCACTTGATGGATAACTTCACCAACTTCTACAACTGCTTATATACAGTTTCTCATCAACCACAAAAATGGAAGTAGAATCCGACTTCCCATGCATTAGGAGTTATAGATCATGGGACTTTAGATTAAGAGTGTCAAATAATTTAATTAATTGAAGTGGTTAATTAATTGAAGTGGAAAAAAAAAGAGATCATATTCATATAGAAAATTAAGGAAAATTGAAGTCTTTTGCAAACCCAAGTATATTATCAGTAGCGTGTTGGCAATTGCCAATTGGCTTGGTGAATGGGACCAATTACGCCTCGTGTACTCTTGACAAGATCACAATGACATCAACAGTCAACAATATGTAACTTGAATTTGAAAAGTCAAAAATCCATGCAAAATGCTTTTTCAAAGGCTAATAAGAAACAAAATAAATGGTTTTTTTTTGTTAGTAATTAAAAAGGAAAAAAGAAATTGGCCAAGATCACTCAAGCTCAAATATGAAAGCAAAAGGCCAAAAGGATGATAGGGGAGCATTAGGAGTGGACGAAGGGGAAATATATGAAAGGAAGTAACACAGACTGTCGTCGACACACTGTCCTTCACCCAGCCCCATTGTCACATGGAGTAGTGGCCCCGTACGTACGGTTTCCACCATTGGAACCACCGTGCTTCCCACGTGATACTTCCCCGGCCCACCGTTCTTCTCAGCATTGGAACCACAACTTTCTCACCCTTTTCTTTTCTCAAAATTCTTACACTTCTTCAATTTAAAATTAATTAGTACTACTACCAAGAAAAAATTAATTAAATTTATAAACCCATAAATAATTTTAATTTGAATTTAAAGCATTAAAATGCAAAGCATACGTGATATAAGTTCAATATTTGATAACTTCAAACATAAAAAAAAAAAATTAAACCTTTTCAATTCATTAGCAATGAAATTAATTAAACACTTGGTTGAAAGTTGTAAATAAAACCGATATGTTACATTAAATAGGAAATTTTCAATCAATTCATTTGACATATGTATTTCAATATGTTCATAAAACTCTTTCATCTCATATAAATTTCATATCAATCTTTAAGGATATTTGAGTAGTTTTGATTAGTTTTGGAAGAAGTTAAAACTTATTTTTATTTGTGCCGAGTTTCAAATTGAGAGATAAAATCCTAAAATTATATAAAAAAAAGCGATTAATAACAAAAGTAGAAGTATTTTTTGTGCTTACACTTCGACATTCAAGTTAGAAGTCGATTATAAGAAGTCAGAAGAAGAGTAAAATAAAAAAAAAGTAAAATAAAGAGAAATTTAAGAAAGCAAAAGCTTTAGATAGTATCTGAATGATCATATTTATAGATGAAAGATAAAGATCTGTAAGATAAATTGGTGACGTGACCAAGCTAATATGATGCTATACATGTTAAGTCGATCCAAAAATTAAAAATATATTTGGTTATCTGCTTACAGTCTCTAACAAATGAAAAACCCTTTTGCACTTTGAACCAAATAATATCCCTAATACTTTTCTTCCTCCCTCATCATTTTTCTTATGTTTTTTCCTTCTAACATTTTTTTGGAGAAATGGCTTTTAACAATTTGTCATAGTAATATGGAAATGGATGGGAGAGTTAGGCCAAATAATTAGATGGGAAGACGGGGTAGATGAAGTGGCTAAAATGTCAAAGGCGTGGCACAATTTTGACTCTCTAAAGGCCAATCATCATTTTATGGCCAACAACATACCTTCTATCTATCCAATCACTATCCTTTTCTTTTCTTTTCTTTTTTCTTTTGTATTCTTGTTTAATTGCGGCTTTATATGCATGGGATGTGTTTTACATTGTCTAAAAGAAGCATATTGGCCTCTTTTTTTTTTTTTTTTTAAATATGTTACATGTTATCATGATTATTATGTTACATGCAACATCTGATCTCAGGTTCAAATATATTGTCCTAATTAATGAAAATTGAATATGAAGTCAACAATTATATGTTCTGTTGAAAAAATATTAATTTTTTAATTTCAATAATCAAAAGTTCATATCTTGATAGTATTAAATTAAAAAAAAAATTGAATATTAGACAACAACACGTAAAAAAAAAAGTAATAAAATTTCATCATTGTAAGAGTTTTTGTGCTAGCTGTCATTGTTCTTGATGGAGTCAGTAAACTCCCAATTTCCATTTATGGTTTTGGCATTTATACATGTGTTACCGTGGAATGATTGCATTGTTACATGATCGTATCAGAATATATTGATAAGAAAATCTTTAAATTTTACAGGTCGAGTTAAAAGGATAATACATATTATTTAAAATATAATTAAAAATATAAAAATAAATTAATTAAAAATAAAAATAAGATATGTGTTAATATTTTAATATCGCTTATAAAATTAAAAATATATATTGATAATATATCAAATATTAACTTAAATATATTTGACGAAACCATTATAAAAAAAATGTTAGTAATAAATAAATAAACCAAACATATACATCGTGGTGATCTATTATCAACAGAATGAGGATTTTTATATTCAAATGGAACAGAAAGTTAATTAACAAAAGAAAATTTATTAGCTACAATCTACAAAGTTGAAAGAAGAGCAAAATAAAATTCAGAACTTAAGTCTAACTGTTTATTTGTCTATTTCAAAAGATAAATTTTGAATAGGATAACATTTGGATCACAATATTTGCAATTTTCCTTCAATTTTTAATATAAAAAATATATTATTGCTTCAATTTACATTAGTAAAATTTGGTTTTGAGCAAGCTACACTACACCTCTTCAGGATTTGCTTTTATGGCCTTTCATTCGAGGGTTTTATTTATGTGATCATTTGAATATTTTGAATTAATTAAGATATGATCATTCATCATGTGTTATTTTACCTATCCAAAAGCATACATTAAAACTTTCACTACTCATATCTTAATTCATGGCTATAATAACCCAATTTGATTTTTATTTTCAAAAAGTTCATAATTAATTTTTTATTAAAAGTGTTGGAATGTTACTGTT